CCTTCCAACCACACACCCACCTTCCAACCACACACCCACCTTCCAACCACACACCCACCTTCCAACCACACACCCACCTTCCAACCACACACCCACCTTCCAACCACACACCCACCTTCCAACCACACACCCACCTTCCAACCACACACCCACCTTCGAACCACACACCCACCTTCCAACCACACACCCACCTTCCAACCACACACCCACCTTCCAACCACCCACCACCTTCCAACCACACACCCACCTTCCAACCACACACCCACCTTCCAACCACACACCCACCTTCCAACCACACACCCACCTTCCAACCACCCACCACCCTTCCAACCACACACCCACCTTCCAACCACACACCCACCTTCCAACCACACACCCACCTTCCAACCACACACCCACCTTCCAACCACACACCCACCTTCCAACCACACACCCACCTTCCAACCACACACCCACCTTCCAACCACACACCCACCTTCCAACCACACACCCACCTTCCAACCACACACCCACCTTCCAACCACACACCCACCTTCCAACCACACACCCACCTTCCAACCACACACCCACCTTCGAACCACACACCCACCTTCGAACCACACACCCACCTTCGAACCACACACCCACCTTCCAACCACACACCCACCTTCCAACCACACACCCACCTTCCAACCACACACCCACCTTCCAACCACACACCCACCTTCCAACCACACACCCACCTTCCAACCACACACCCACCTTCCAACCACACACCCACCTTCCAACCACACACCCACCTTCCAACCACACACCCACCTTCCAACCACACACCCACCTTCCAACCACACACCCACCTTCCAACCACACACCCACCTTCCAACCACACACCCACCTTCCAACCACACACCCACCTTCCAACCACACACCCACCTTCCAACCACACACCCACCTTCCAACCACACACCCACCTTCCAACCACACACCCACCTTCCAACCACACACCCACCTTCCAACCACACACCCACCTTCCAACCACACACCCACCTTCCAACCACACACCCACCTTCCACCACACACCCACCTTCCAACCACACACCCACCTTCCAACCACACACCCACCTTCCAACCACACACCCACCTTCCAACCACACACCCACCTTCCAACCACACACCCACCTTACAACCACACACCCACCTTCCAACCACACACCCACCTTCCAACCACACACCCACCTTCCAACCACACACCCACCTTCCAACCACACACCCACCTTCGAACCACACACCCACCTTCCAACCACACACCCACCTTCCAACCACACACCCACCTTCCAACCACACACCCACCTTCCAACCACACACCCACCTTCCAACCACACACCCACCTTCCAACCACACACCCACCTTCCAACCACACACCCACCTTCCAACCACACACCCACCTTCCAACCACACACCCACCTTCCAACCACACACCCACCTTCCAACCACACACCCACCTTCCAACCACACACCCACCTTCCAACCACACACCCACCTTCCAACCACACACCCACCTTCCAACCACACACCCACCTTCCAACCACACACCCACCTTCCAACCACACACCCACCTTCCAACCACACACCCACCTTCCAACCACACACCCACCTTCCAACCACACACCCACCTTCCAACCACACACCCACCTTCGAACCACACACCCACCTTCCAACCACACACCCACCTTCCAACCACACACCCACCTTCCAACCACACACCCACCTTCCAACCACACACCCACCTTCCAACCACACACCCACCTTCCAACCACACACCCACCTTCCAACCACACACCCACCTTCCAACCACACACCCACCTTCCAACCACACACCCACCTTCGAACCACACACCCACCTTCGAACCACACACCCACCTTCGAACCACACACCCACCTTCCAACCACACACCCACCTTCCAACCACACACCCACCTTCCAACCACACACCCACCTTCCAACCACACACCCACCTTCCAACCACACACCCACCTTCCAACCACACACCCACCTTCCAACCACACACCCACCTTCCAACCACACACCCACCTTCCAACCACACACCCACCTTCCAACCACACACCCACCTTCCAACCACACACCCACCTTCCAACCACACACCCACCTTCCAACCACACACCCACCTTCCAACCACACACCCACCTTCCAACCACACACCCACCTTCCAACCACACACCCACCTTCCAACCACACACCCACCTTCCAACCACACACCCACCTTCCAACCACACACCCACCTTCCAACCACACACCCACCTTCCAACCACACACCCACCTTCCAACCACACACCCACCTTCCAACCACACACCCCCACCTTCGAACCACACACCCACCTTCCAACCACACACCCACCTTCCAACCACACACCCACCTTCCAACCACACACCCACCTTCCAACCACACACCCACCTTCCAACCACACACCCACCTTCCAACCACACACCCACCTTCCAACCACACACCCACCTTCCAACCACACACCCACCTTCCAACCACACACCCACCTTCCAACCACACACCCACCTTCCAACCACACACCCACCTTCCAACCACACACCCACCTTCCAACCACACACCCACCTTCCAACCACACACCCACCTTCCAACCACACACCCACCTTCCAACCACACACCCACCTTCCAACCACACACCCACCTTCCAACCACACACCCACCTTCCAACCACACACCCACCTTCCAACCACACACCCACCTTCCAACCACACACCCACCTTCCAACACACACCCACCTTCCAACCACACACCACCTTCCAACCACACACCCACCTTCCAACCACACACCCACCTTCCAACCACACACCCACCTTCCAACCACACACCCACCTTCCAACCACACACCCACCTTCCAACCACACACCCACCTTCCAACCACACACCCACCTTCCAACCACACACCCACCTTCCAACCACACACCCACCTTCCAACCACACACCCACCTTCCAACCACACACCCACCTTCCAACCACCCACCACCTTCCAACCACACACCCACCTTCCAACCACACACCCACCTTCCAACCACACACCCACCTTCCAACCACACACCCACCTTCCAACCACACACCCACCTTCCAACCACACACCCACCTTCCAACCACACACCCACCTTCCAACCACACACCCACCTTCCAACCACACACCCACCTTCCAACCACACACCCACCTTCCAACCACACACCCACCTTCCAACCACACACCCACCTTCCAACCACACACCCACCTTCCAACCACACACCCACCTTCCAACCACACACCCACCTTCCAACCACACACCCACCTTCCAACCACACACCCACCTTCCAACCACACACCCACCTTCCAACCACACACCCACCTTCCAACCACACACCCACCTTCCAACCACACACCCACCTTCCAACCACACACCCACCTTCCAACCACACACCCACCTTCCAACCACACACCCACCTTCCAACCACACACCCACCTTCCAACCACACACCCACCTTCCAACCACACACCCACCTTCCAACCACACACCCACCTTCCAACCACACACCCACCTTCCAACCACACACCCACCTTCCAACCACACACCCACCTTCCAACCACACACCCACCTTCCAACCACACACCCACCTTCCAACCACACACCCACCTTCCAACCACACACCCACCTTCAACCACACACCCACCTTCCAACCACACACCCACCTTCCAACCACACACCCACCTTCCAACCACACACCCACCTTCCAACCACACACCCACCTTCCAACCACACACCCACCTTCCAACCACACACCCACCTTCCAACCACACACCCACCTTCCAACCACACACCCCTTCCAACCACACACCACCTTCCAACCACACACCCACCTTCCAACCACACACCCACCTTCCAACCACACACCCACCTTCCAACCACACACCCACCTTCCAACCACACACCCACCTTCCAACCACACACCCACCTTCCAACCACACACCCACCTTCCAACCACACACCCACCTTCCAACCACACACCCACCTTCCAACCACACACCCACCTTCCAACCACACACCCACCTTCCAACCACACACCCACCTTCCAACCACACACCCACCTTCCAACCACACACCCACCTTCCAACCACACACCCACCTTCCAACCACACACCCACCTTCCAACCACACACCCACCTTCCAACCACACACCCACCTTCCAACCACACACCCACCTTCCAACCACACACCCACCTTCCAACCACACACCCACCTTCCAACCACACACCCACCTTCCAACCACACACCCACCTTCCAACCACACACCCACCTTCCAACCACACACCCACCTTCCAACCACACACCCACCTTCCAACCACACACCCACCTTCCAACCACACACCCACCTTCCAACCACACACCCACCTTCCAACCACACACCCACCTTCCAACCACACACCCACCTTCCAACCACACACCCACCTTCCAACCACACACCCACCTTCCAACCACACACCCACCTTCCAACCACACACCCACCTTCCAACCACACACCCACCTTCCAACCACACACCCACCTTCCAACCACACACCCACCTTCCAACCACACACCCACCTTCCAACCACACACCCACCTTCCAACCACACACCCACCTTCCAACCACACACCCACCTTCCAACCACACACCCACCTTCCAACCACACACCCACCTTCCAACCACACACCCACCTTCCAACCACACACCCACCTTCCAACCACACACCCACCTTCCAACCACACACCCACCTTCCAACCACACACCCACCTTCCAACCACACACCCACCTTCCAACCACACACCCACCTTCCAACCACACACCCACCTTCCAACCACACACCCACCTTCCAACCAACCACACACCCACCTTCCAACCACACACCCACCTTCCAACCACACACCCACCTTCCAACCACACACCCACCTTCCAACCACACACCCACCTTCCAACCACACACCCACCTTCCAACCACACACCCACCTTCCAACCACACACCCACCTTCCAACCACACACCCACCTTCCAACCACACACCCACCTTCCAACCACACACCCACCTTCCAACCACACACCCACCTTCCAACCACACACCCACCTTCCAACCACACACCCACCTTCCAACCACACACCCACCTTCCAACCACACACCCACCTTCCAACCACACACCCACCTTCCAACCACACACCCACCTTCCAACCACACACCCACCTTCCAACCACACACCCACCTTCCAACCACACACCCACCTTCCAACCACACACCCACCTTCCAACCACACACCCACCTTCCAACCACACACCCACCTTCCAACCACACACCCACCTTCCAACCACACACCCACCTTCCAACCACACACCACCTTCCAACCACACACCCACCTTCCAACCACACACCCACCTTCCAACCACACACCCACCTTCCAACCACACACCCACCTTCCAACCACACACCCACCTTCCAACCACACACCCACCTTCCAACCACACACCCACCTTCCAACCACACACCCACCTTCCAACCACACACCCACCTTCCAACCACACACCCACCTTCCAACCACACACCCACCTTCCAACCACACACCCACCTTCCAACCACACACCCACCTTCCAACCACACACCCACCTTCCAACCACACACCCACCTCGCAACCACACACCCACCTTCCAACCACACACCCACCTTCCAACCACACACCCACCTTCCAACCACACACCCACCTTCCAACCACACACCCACCTTCCAACCACACACCCACCTTCCAACCACACACCCACCTTCCAACCACACACCCACCTTCAACCACACACCCACCTTCCAACCACACACCCACCTTCCAACCACACACCCACCTTCCAACCACACACCCACCTTCCAACCACACACCCACCTTCCAACCACACACCCACCTTCCAACCACACACCCACCTTCCAACCACACACCCACCTTCCAACCACACACCCACCTTCCAACCACACACCCACCTTCCAACCACACACCCACCTTCCAACCACACACCCACCTTCCAACCACACACCACCTTCCAACCACACACCCACCTTCCAACCACACACCCACCTTCCAACCACACACCCACCTTCCAACCACACACCCACCTTCCAACCACACACCCACCTTCCAACCACACACCCACCTTCCAACCACACACCCACCTTCCAACCACACACCCACCTTCCAACCACACACCCACCTTCCAACCACACACCCACCTTCCAACCACACACCCACCTTCCAACCACACACCCACCTTCCAACCACACACCCACCTTCCAACCACACACCCACCTTCCAACCACACACCCACCTTCCAACCACACACCCACCTTCCAACCACACACCCACCTTCCAACCACACACCCACCTTCCAACCACACACCCACCTTCCAACCACACACCCACCTTCCAACCACACACCCACCTTCCAACCACACACCCACCTTCCAACCACACACCCACCTTCCAACCACACACCCACCTTCCAACCACACACCCACCTTCCAACCACACACCCACCTTCCAACCACACACCCACCTTCCAACCACACACCCACCTTCCAACCACACACCCACCTTCCAACCACACACCCACCTTCCAACCACACACCCACCTTCCAACCACACACCCACCTTCCAAACCACACACCCACCTTCCAACCACACACCCACCTTCCAACCACACACCCACCTTCCAACCACACACCCACCTTCCAACCACACACCCACCTTCCAACCACACACCCACCTTCCAACCACACACCCACCTTCCAACCACACACCCACCTTCCAACCACACACCCACCTTCCAACCACACACCCACCTTCCAACCACACACCCACCTTCCAACCACACACCCACCTTCCAACCACACACCCACCTTCCAACCACACACCCACCTTCCAACCACACACCCACCTTCCAACCACACACCCACCTTCCAACCACACACCCACCTTCCAACCACACACCCACCTTCCAACCACACACCCACCTTCCAACCACACACCCACCTTCCAACCACACACCCACCTTCCAACCACACACCCACCTTCCAACCACACACCACACCTTCCAACCACACACCCACCTTCCAACCACACACCCACCTTCCAACCACACACCCACCTTCCAACCACACACCCACCTTCCAACCACACACCCACCTTCCAACCACACACCCACCTTCCAACCACACACCCCCTTCCAACCACACACCCACCTTCCAACCACACACCCACCTTCCAACCACACACCCACCTTCCAACCACACACCCACCTTCCAACCACACACCCACCTTCCAACCACACACCACCTCTCATCCACTCACCTCCTCGTCTCCCTCCGCACGCTGCACCAGCAGCACCACCCCCTGCTCCCCCTTCAATGTAGCGAGGAGGTCAGGGTCAATGCGCTCCACCTGAGGCAGAGGAGAGGAGGGAGGGCGGATGAAGACAGAATGAGGAAGATGGGGAAGTTACGAGAGGTTTTCATCGGACTAGACAGTATCCTCAGCAGCACCACCCCTACCTCCTCCTGCAGTGTTGCAAGAAGGTGGGGGGCTATGTGCTCCATTTGAGGCCACGTTAGGGGCGGAATGGATAGGAATGGATAGGATGCACAACGAGATAAGTGTGGGTGACGATGAACCGAGCTTTGAGACGTCTCAACTTTTGAGACGTCTCAAAATTACTCCACCTGAGGCCATGTTAGGGGCGGAATGGATAGAATGCACAACGAGATGAGTGTGGGTGACGTGACGATGAACCGAGTTGGTTTTTGAGTCGACTCAAAAGTAGACTCGGCTATTTTTGAGGCGATGTTTGAGGCGCCTCAAAAGTAGACTCGGCTTATTGTCCACGCAAACCCATGTTAGGGGCGGAATGGCTTGGATGCACAACAAGATGACCGAGAATTCAGGGAAAAGTCAGAGGATTGATAAGGTTGATTTTCGGTTTCCATTGCCCACTCTTAAAACAGCCTAAAGGCGCCTTCGGTGCGAGAGAGTGTAAGCTTTGGACGCAGAACGTTTGCAAAGCTTGCTCACACGGGACCGGAGGCCACGGGACACACAGTGCTTCGCATCCTACTCGAAGCTTCCTATTTGCGAGCTTGCCCACAGCAGACGACTTTTGAGGCGCCTCAAAAGTCGACACAGTGCTTCGCATCTTACTCCAAGCTTCCTACTTGGGAGCTTGCCCACTGCAGCACCGGGCACGAGCACATCTCATTATTCGGTTGTGATGTTCCCTAAAGCGCAAATGGCAGGGTGTTTTGAGCCCCATTGAGCCCAATCTGTCTCCCCTCCACCACTCACCTCCACCAGCTTGCCCACAGCAGTGCCAGGAACAAGCACGTCCCAACCCTCGGCTCCCAGGGCCGACCGCGTCGCGCGCAGCAGCAGCGAGGTGAGCATTTTTTAGGAGCCTCAAGCATCATCTCAATAACCGAACCACCACTCACCTCCACGAGCTTGCCCACAGCAGTGCCCGGAACAAGCACGTCCCAGCCCTCACTTTCAATGCACCCTAAAGCCCTTCTTCACCCACCCTCGCCCTCTCTCACCTCCACGAGCTTCCCCACAGCAGTGCCAGGAACAAGCACGTCCCAGCCCTCGGCTCCCAGCACGGATCGCATCACACGCAGCAGCAGGGAGGTGAGCTTCGCCAGCTGAAACACCACACTGGTGAGGGGAGGATGGGAAGGGAGGGGAGGGGAGGTGGGGGGGAGGGGAGAGGAAGGTTGAGGCGACACTAGACACATCACACATAATTCATCTCCCAGCACCGACCGCATCACGCGCAGCAGCAGCGAGGTGAGCTTCGCCAGCTGAAACACCACATTGGTGAGGGGAGGATGGGAAGGGAGGGGAGGGGAGGTGGGGGGGAGGGGAGAGGAAGGTTGAGGCGACACTAGACACATCACACATAATTCATCTCCCAGCACCGACCGCATCACGCGCAGCAGCAGCGAGGTGAGCTTCGCCAGCTGAAACACCACACTGAAGACGGGGTGGGTGAGGGGGGGGGGGGGGGGGGGGGGGAGAAGAGGGGAGGGTGAGCTGGCTCAGATCTCACCTGGATTTAATCTCGAATCTTTAATGGATCGAATTTCACCTGGTTCAAATCTCACCTGGATCATATCTTACCTGAATCCAATCTCACCTGAATCATATCTCACCAGGACCAAATCTCGCATGAATCATATCTCACCTGGATCGGATCTCCGCCTCTGCAAAAGTCCGTACTGCGTTCTCCTCGATTCCCAGTGCGTGGCCCAGCTTCTGCCACGTGGAAAAGTGGGAAAGGGTGAGCAGGAGACAGGGGAAAGAAGGAACGGAAGGAGACTTGTCAAACGACTCAAAAGTCTCCTCGATTCCCAGTGCGTGGCCCAGCTTCTGCCACGTGGAGTAACGGGGGCAGAAGCTGGAAAAGTGGGCAACAGGAATGGGGGAAGAGGGATGGGGGAGACTGTGGGAAGAAGAAAGGACAGGGGAGACTGTGGAAAGATGAGACAGGGAAGACTGTGGGAGAGGGTAGGGACGGGGGAGACTGAGGGAAGGGTAAGGGAGAGGAGAGACTGTGGGAAGGGTAAGGGACAGGGAGAGACTGTGGGAAGGGTAAGGGACAGGGAGAGACTGTGGGAAGGGTAAGGGACAGGGAGAGACTGTGGGAAGGGTAAGGGACAGGGAGAGACTGTGGGAAGGGTAAGGGACAGGGAGAGACTGTGGGAAGGGTAAGGGACAGGGAGAGACTGTGGGAAGGGTAAGGGACAGGGAGAGACTGTGGGAAGGGTAAGGGACAGGGAGAGACTGTGGGAAGGGTAAGGGACAGGGAGAGACTGTGAGAAGGGTAAGGGACAGGGAGAGACTGTGGGAAGGGTAAGGGACAGGGAGAGAATGGGTAGCATTGGGATGCTGGGAAGAGTTTGATGGGGAAAAGAGGGAGATCATGGGTGGAGTTGTGGCATGGCGCCATGCGTGGGATGGGATATCACATCTGTGAGGGCTCAAAGCGGAGGAGCTCCAACGACGTGTTCTCAGTGAAAGCCTCTGTGAGTGCTGCTTGCACTCAACTCAACGTTACTGCGAGAATTCTCAAAAACACCCTACAGATGCGAGAGCCCTGTGAGTGCTGCTTGCACTCAACGTTACTGCGAGAATTCTCAAAAACACCCTACAGATGCGAGAGCCCTGTGAGTGATGCTTGCACTCAACGTTACTGTGTACCTGGGTAGAGAGGCACATGCTTGAACGAGCTACAACAGCACTCCCACGAGCGCACCTGGTAGGTGAGGCATCCCCACGCACGCACCTGCGAGGGCTCGAAGAAGAGCTCGAGCGTGGTCTCGGTGAATGCCTCTGTGAGTCGCCTCATGCAATCAGAGTCACCCCGACCCACTGCTGCACACTGCACACTGGGCACTGCACACTGGGCACTGCACACTGCACACTACCGTTAGTTCACCCACACGCACCTGCGAGGGCTCGAAGAAGAGCTCGAGCGTGGTCTCGGTGAATGCCTCTGTGAGTCGCCTCATGCAATCAGAGTCACCCCGACCCACTGCTGCACACTGCACACTGGGCACTGCACACTGGGCACTGCACACTGCACACTACCGTTAGTTCACCCACACGCACCTGCGAGGGCTCGAAGAAGAGCTCCAGCATGGTCTTGGTGAAGGCCTCTGTGAGTGCTGCTCACTCAGCTTCACCCTCACGCAATGCTGCACGCTGCACACTGTGCAACTGCACACTGCACACTACGCACGGCTGTTAGTACAACCCCACACACACACGCACCTGCGAGGGCTCAAAGAAGAGCTCCAGCGTGGTCTCAGTGAATGCCTCCGTGAGTCGCCTCATGCGGTCCAGAGAAGCCTTGATCCTCAGCGCCCACCACCGCAGGTCGTGCTCTGATGCCACACCTGGTGGATAGGGGGTGAAGTGGGTGTTTATGTGTGTGTGTTTGTATCAGTGTGCATGTGTGTCTCAGTGAAGGCCTCTGTGAGTCGCCTCATGCGGTTCAGAGAAGCCTTGATCCTCAGCGCCCACCACCGCAGATCATGCTCCGATGCCACACCTGGTGGATAGGGGGTGAAGTGGGTGTTTATGTGTGTGTGTTTGTATCAGTGTGCATGTGTGTCTCCGTGAATGCCTCTGTGAGTCGCCTCATACGATCCAGAGAGGCCTTGATCCTCAGCGCCCACCACCGCAGGTCGTGCTCTGATGCCACACCTGGTGGATAGGGGGTGAAGTGGGTGTTTATGTGTGTGTGTTTGTATCAGTGTGCATGTGTGTCTCCGTGAATGCCTCTGTGAGTCGCCTCATACGATCCAGAGAGGCCTTGAGCCTCAGCGCCCACCACCGTAGGTCATGCTCCGATGCCACACGTGGTGGATAGGGGGTGAAGAGAGTGTGCGAGTGTGTGTCAGTCAGTGTGTGCTCCCGAGTGCCATGTCTTAATGTGTGTGCCTTGAGCCTCAGCGCCCACCACCGCAGGTCATGCTCCGATGCCACACGTGGTGGATAGGGGGTGAAGAGAGTGTGCGAGTGTGTGTCAGTCAGTGTGTGCTCCCGAGTGCCATGTCTTAATGTGTGTGCCTTGAGCCTCAGCGCCCACCACCGCAGGTCATGCTCCGATGCCACACGTGGTGGATAGGGGGTGAAGAGAGTGTGCGAGTGTGTGTCAGTCAGTGTGTGCTCCCGAGTGCCATGTCTTAATGTGTGTGCCTTGAGCCTCAGCGCCCACCACCGCAGGTCATGAGCTGAAGACGGTGGGATTGACGATTTCTGTTTCAGCACCAGGGATTTCACTAATTCCAGCTCTCACCTGCACTGCCGATGCCAGCGGCCTGCCAGGACGCCAGCGCGTTCTCAAGGCAAAAGCACTCCGCCTGGTTCCACCCGGACAGCCCCAGGTGCTGCAGCCCCAGCTGTCTCGCCCTCCTCCCTTCCTAATCAAGGTGTCAGATTCACGGTACCAGCATCAGGAGTATCCAGTTCGTCTCACCTGCGCTGCCGATTCCAGCAGCCTGCCAGTACGCCAGCTCATTCTCAAGGCAGAAGCACTCCGCCTGGTTCCACCCGGACAGACAGCCTCAGGTGCTGCGGCCCTCCTCTGAACCCCTTCATATCAAGTAAGAGCCCCAGGTGTCCCGCCCCTTCCCCTTTCAGGTCAAGGTGGTGGGGTTCATCTCACCTGCGCTGCCGATGCCAGCGGCCTGCCAGGACGCCAGCTCGTTCTCAAGGCAGAAGCACTCCGCCTGGTTCCACCCCGACAGCCCCAGGTGCCTCAGCCCCAGAACTGCCGCCCCCAGCGCCACCCCCACGTGCCCCAGCTGCCCCATGCGGATCTCCCCCGCCATGCCCTCCGCTGCCTTGTCTCCCCCTTCCTCGTCAAACAACTCATTCAAGAACCTGGGAGGGTGCGGGATGGAAGATGGGGACGGTGCGGGATGGAAGATGGGGAGGGGTGGAAGGGAAAGAGGTGAGGGAGTGGGGAAACAAGGGGCGAGTAATGGGCTGAAACCGGGCATTGAACAGCCTCCTAAGGTGCCTCAGCCCCAGCACGGCCGCCCCCAGCGCCACCCCCACGTGCCCCAGCTGCCCCATGCGGATCTCCCCCGCCATGCCCTCTGCTGCCTTGTCTCCCCCTTCCTCATCAAACAGCTCGTTCAGAAACCTGGGAGGAGGGGGGAGAGGGGGGTGGGGGAGACAGATGACGGAGGAACGGGGAGAAGAGGAGAAGGAGAGGAGGAGAGAGTGAGTGATGGGAGAGAGGGAGAGTGGTGAAAAGGGCATCGAACCGCCTCCTCAGATGCCACTGCCCCTGCCTGCCTACACTACCGCCCCAAGCTCTGAGCCACACCCACGTGCCCCAGCTGCCCCATGCGGATCTCCCCCGCCCGCCATGCCCTCCGCTGCCCTCTCCCCCCCCTCTTCATCAAACAGCTCGTTCAGGAACCTAAGAGGAGCAGAGTGGGACGAGGGAGGCGGGGAGAAAAGAGGGGGAGGGGGAAGGGAGGGAGGGGGCGAGGGGACATGGAGGAAACAAGGAGTGAGTGGAGGAGAGGAGAGGAGAGGAGAGGAGAGGAGAGGAGAGGAGAGGACAGTGACCAGACAGCCCCAGCACGGCGCGCCCCCAGCGCCACCCCCACGTGCCCCATGCGGATCTCCCCCGCCATGCCCTCCGCTGCCCTCCCCCCCCCCCCCTTCTCGTCAAATAACTCGTTGAGAAACCTGCGAGGAGGGGGGAGAGGGGTGGGGAGCCGGAAGAGCCGGAAGAGGGGGGATGCGGGGTGGGATGGATGGCAAAGTGTGGGGTGGGGCAGCAGCACACTTCACAGCTTGATCAAACTAGTGCATTGCAATCATCCCTGCCCGAACAAGTTGGGGCAGCACGACTCATGAGGTGCTGAGATCCCTCTCGCCTGCTCAGCAGAACGAAGAAATACTCCTCGAGGCAGATCTCCCCTCGGCGACTATAGTTGGCATGGCATTGCAAGCTAGAGGCAAAGTGAATACAAGGCAAGGCCCATTGCTACCCCTCTCACCTGCTCAGCAGCATGACTTACGAGGCACTGAGAGCCCTCACCTGCTGAGCAGCACGAAGAAATACTCCTCGAGGCAGATCTCCGCCAGTCGCCACTGTTAAACGAGAAAGAGAGGGAGAGGCAGGGAAGCAAGAGGATAGAGTCAGCTCACTGTGCTCACAAGGTAAAAGTCACGCCCTCTCATGACACGTCGCTAGCAGACACGATCAAGCACAGCAGCACGGCCCATCTCCCATTACACACCGACGTCACTATTCCTTCCCCTTTTCCCCCAGGTGTCATCCCCCTGATCCTCAACCTTCCCCTCACCTTCTGTCGCATGGCAATGGCATCATCAGGAGCGTCGTTCCTCAGCCCACTCTCCAGCGAATACAGCAGCACGGCCCACCGTCCACTCCCCAACTACGTCATTGTTCCCTCCAACTCCCATCCCTCTCCCCGCTCACCTTCTGGCGCATGGCAATGGCATCATCCGGGGCGTCGTTCCTCAGCCCGCTCTCCAGCGAATACATCAGCACGGCCCGCAGCCCTGTCAGCGCATGCAGCGCTGACATCAGCACGTCAGTTGGCCGCCCGGACGCTGCCCCCCCCTGTGATGACTCTCCTGATGCCCCTGCCGAAGATGGCAGTGCATCGACGTTCTGGGAGGGGGGAGAGAGGGGGGAGGGGGGAGGGAAAGGGGGGCTGACATCAGCACGTCGGTCGGCCGCCCTGACGCTGCCGCCCCCTGTGCTGACTCTCCTGATGCACCTGCCGAAGACGGCAGTGCATCGACTTTCTGGGAAGAGAGGGGCGGGGGGTTATTGTAGTGCAGGGGTGCGAAGAAGAAAATGGGGGGTCATCGTATTTTCCCAAACCTGCTGAATCCTCACACCCACCAGCTTTCCCGACAGGAGAATCACCTCATCAATCCTCACCCCACCTGCTGAATCCTCACCCCCACCTGCTTGCCTGATAAACACCTCACCTCCTCAATCCCCACTGCACCTGATCAATCCTCACCCCACCTCCTGAATCCTCACCCCACCTCCTGAACCTGAATCCTCACCCCACCTCCTGAACCTGAATCCTCACCCCTTACCTGCTTGCACGCGAGGAAGTTCTGCAGCATGGCAGCGCCGGTGTCGTCCAGTGAGGGGCGAATGCTCTCCAGAAGCTCCGTCAGACTGGCAGGGAGAGAGGGAAGGGAGGGGTAGGTTTGTGCAGGTGTGTGAAGGTTTGTACAGGCATGGGGTTGCCATTTGAGTAAACTCAAAAGTGCTCTCCCAAAGCTCCCACTCAACTGCTCGCGTTTGAAAAAGTCCTTGAGCCCTGAGCAGAACAGCTTGAGCTGCTGCACGAAGGCCTCGCTGTACTCCCCCAAGGTGCGGGTGACCCAACGCAGCAGCAGCTCCGCGTGTTTCAGCTCCGTGTGTTCAGCTCCGTGTGTTCAGCTCCGTCTACTCAACCCCCTCTCTCTCTATCCCACTCACCTGCTCGCATTGAAAAAGTCCTTGAGCTCGGCGTCGAACAGCTTCAGCTGCTGCACAAACGCCTCACTGTACTCCCCCGGGGTGCGCGTCACCCGGCGCAGCAGCAGCAGCTCTGTCTGTACAAGCCATCCCCTCTCTATCCCACTCACCTGCTCGCATTGAAGAAGTCCTTGAGCTCGGAGTAGAACAGCTTCAGCTGCTGCACAAAGGCTTCGCAGTACTCCCCCGGGGTGCGAGTGGCCCGTCGTAGCAGCAGCAGCTCTGTCTATCCACACCCTCCCTGTCACCTACCTGCTCGCATTGAAAAAGTCCTTAGCTCGGCGTAGAACAGCTTCAGCTGCTGCACGAATGCCTCACAGCACTCAACTGTCCTCCTCTCTCCCTCTCTCTCCGTATACACTAATCCCTCTCGCGCTCCCTGTGTGTGACCTACCTGCTCGCATTGAAGAAGTCTTTCAGCTCAGCGTAGAACAGCTTGAGCTGCTGCACGAACGCCTCGCTGTACTCCCCCGGGGTGCGAGTCACCCGCCTCAGCAGCAGCTCCGCAGCCACCAGATTTTCTCTCTCTCCTTATCTCCCTGTGACGGTGTGACCTACCTGCTCGCGTTAAAGAAGTCTTTCAGCTCAGCGTAGAACAGCTTGAGCTGCTGCACGAACGCCTCGCTGTATTCTCCTGGGGTGCGAGTGACCCGGCGCAGCAGCAGCTCCGTGGCCACTAGATCCTCGGGTCCAGCGTTGCGGTGCAGCTTGTTCTGAATCGTGTGCTTGATCTCTTGCTGATGGGGGGGGAGGGGAGGGGAGGGCGTGGGGTGAAAGGGGGAGAAGGGGGAGAAAGGGAAGAGCGAGGGGAAGAGGTACTATGAGTGTGAGGGAAGACGACCCGGCGCAGCAGCAGCACCGTGGCCACCAGGTCCTCTGGACTAGCATTGCGGTGCAGCTTGTTCTAAATCGTGTGCTTGATCTCTTTCTGTTGAAGGTGGAGAAGTGGGGGACGGGGAAGAGGAGAGGGGGGGAGGGGAGAAGGGGGGGAAGGAGGGAAAGGGGGAAAGAGAAGAGCGAAGGGAGGAGGGTGTGCGTTGCAGTCTGAACCGTGTGCTGGGAAAACGTTTAACTTGGAACGGCAGCCCTGGTGCTATGAGTGTGAGCGAAGGCTACCCCCCGCAGCAGCAGCTCCGTGGCCACCAGGTGCACCTTGGGATGAGCTGTGACTGCAATTCACCACACCTTGAATCGAGCCCTAAGCCCTACATGCACTGCACCACACTCTGAGATCAGCTGTAAGTGGACTTTTTGTGGTGCATACCTTGAAGTTGTGTGCTATGTCTCTGATGCACGTGAGGGGCACGGACGCCGTGAAGCAATACCGCAACTGTGGGAGGAGCTCGGAGTGCACTGCACCGCACCATGAGCCAGAGTTCTGAGTGGACTGTTTGTGGTGCATACCTTGAGGTCGTGTGGGATGTCGTTGCGGTGGGCGATGTCGCGGATGCGCGTGAGGGGCACCGACGCCGTGAAGTCAGCAGAGAAGGCGGGCAGGCGCGGATGGATCTTGCGCATCACCACTTTCTCCTGAGAGAGTGGGATAGGGGGAGGGGGGGTGGGAGGGAGAGAGGGTGGGGGGAGAGGGGAAGGGGGGAGGAAGATGGGGGGCACATCAACATGGTAAGGTAGGCAGACGCGGATGGATCTTGCGCATCACCACCTTCTCCTGAGAGAGTCGGGGAGAGAGAGGGGGGAGAGAGGGTGGGGAAGCGGGTGAGTTACTGGGTCGCGCAGAGAAGGCGAGCAGGCGCGGATGGATCTTGCGCATCATCACCTTCTCCTGGGGGAGGGAAGGGGGGGAGGGGGGGAAGACGTTTCAAAACTGCTTCCATCGTCCTGGTGCACTCCTTCTCCAGCCAGCGGAAGATACGGCGGGAGGAGGATCAGGATGGCGAGAGTGAGGGGTTCCGATCCGAATACAGCACGCAGCAACACACAACTAACAACACGCACCTCGGAGGTGAGCGCAGAACCTCTGGTGCCCTCCTTCTCCAGCCAGCGGAAGATGCGGCGGGAGATCTCCGCATGGCGATTGGGCCGCCTGTGCCCGCCGTCCTCCACGCACGTGATCTGCCCCGTGTTGATCCACTGCGATAGAAAGGTGTGGGGAACGGTAGGGGCGCATGAGGAACGGACATTAGGGTTCGACGGGTTTAAGTGGCCTGTGGCCTGTGCCCGACGCCTTCCACGCGCGAGATCTGTTCCGTGTTGATCCACTGCGGTAAGCGCGAAAGGGGGGCGCGGGGTAGGTGACGAACAAAGGGCGGATGAGGAACAAACCCTGGGGTTAAGAATGGCCGAACTCTCTCTGTGCCTCTGCCGCATGCTACTTGACTGTGGCTACGTCTTTCCAAGTTCACCCATAAGACCAAAAAAAAAAAAAAAAAAAAAAAAAACGAAATGGACGCCGTAAAAACGCGTGGCATACCTGCAGGTAGATGGACGTGTTAATCATGGCATCGAGGCGCTGACCCCGCTCCGACGGCAATAGGAGATTCTCCACAACCTCCAGCTGTATGATGGCAGATGGAGGAGTTTGGAGAAATGAAGAGGGGTTTGAGAAGGTTTGAGGTAAGACGACGGCTGAGTTTCTTGGCAAGATTTTCGCGTACTAACATATGTCATCCAGCAAGCCAAGTCGCTAAACTAAAACGACGTGCTACCGAAACCTCCTAACAGTCGCCATTCTTGGTCCCGCCCGCCTCTAAGTGTTACTCGTAATTTTCATGCTATTCATACTGTCCGTGTTCCTCTAAGTGTTACTTAACGCCGTTCGTACCGTCGGTGTGATCGTACCGTCATCTTCGATCCACCGGTTTAAATCGTATCGTTGGTGCGAATCTTTACGTATGTGTCAATCTTACCGTCAGTGCCAGTCGTAAGCACCAACCGTGACGCTAGTGTCAACCGTTCCGTCAATGTCAATCCCACCGCCATGCAGCTTGAAAGTTCAATGCTCGTACTTTCGTACGGTCTACCGTACTTCGAGGTGCATCGTACCATCATTGTCAATCGCACCAACAGTGTTAACAGTACCCGCGGTGTTCACAGTACCATCAGAGCCATTCGTACCTTGCGCCACCAGTTTCCCGCGCTCTTATCCGCCTCGACCAGCGCTTTAGCCGGCCCATCGAGCCCGCTCGTGTCCCACCGTCCGCGACGCTCGCTCTTGTGTGCGTTACTCCTCATAAACTCCACACCCCCTCCTGCCCAGTTCTGCGCAAACGCACTCTCCTCTAATCCCCCGTCTTCCGCGGATGAAAACTCCCCCTCGCTCTGAAACCCGCTGTCGCCGCCGACTGGAGCTTCGTTAAAAGATCCCGATCTATCCTCCTTAGTAACCTCCCACGACAGGGTTGCAGCGGTTTTGTTCCATTCGACATCGGTGTTGAATTCTTTGCCGCGGGATTCAACCCCCGGAACAGTCACCTTCCTGTTTGGGCCGTCCTCCCAAACCGAGCTCTTTCCGTCCTTTACAATCACAAATTTGAACTCCACTTCTTGACCTGCAGGCGCGTCAAGGGTAATGCTCCAGCCGGCTTCGCTCCATTGAAGAGCTTTCTGTTCGGTCCAGGACCCGAGCCAATCAGCAGATCCGACAACCGCGATGCTCTCCCCGAATTTAACCTGAATTGGGAGATTGAAACGCACTTTTACCTTACTTCCTCCAGCAACAGCTGCAGTGATTCTCACTGCAGTGACTTTAACGGAGCGAATATGATCGCCATATTGAGCCCTAAGAGCATTGGGAAGCTGACTGGACAGTCCGAGAACGGAGAGCTTGGAAGAATTGATGCTGGATCGCAGGCCCTGCAGGGCAATTGGTTGCACTGAGGTGCTGCTCAATGTGCCTCGCAGGCACTCCATTATCTTCACGTGCTAGACTCGCTGAGTGTCAGCACTATGAAGAGTTCAAGGTCAGCGGCTAATTTCGAAGATTTAGGCCCTACCGTCCAGGCAAATCCCTGGGAGAGCTTAGATCACAGCAATAAGAAGCTCAGGCTGCTCTGCTTCTTTGATAAAGAATCAGATAGCTTAGATCAAGCAGAAGCCTGAGCTGCTTTTGCTGCTCTGCTGCTGTGATTCCTGCAGTCCCTCGATGTTTTCCTCTGCCTGTGATATTGTTGCAATTTCTGAAGATAGATCAGCAATACAGAATGGAGTTTCCTAGGGTGTGGGTTAGCGAACCAACCAGAGCAGAGCACGAACCGGACATTGGGGAATACCGAAAGAACTTTGGAGCCCCTTTTAGCCGGAAAAAGCGTCAGGTGCATACTTGTGTGAATATCGAGGCTGTCTGATTTGCCAATGATGTTACTGGGGAGCTGGAAAGCGAAAGCGGGAAGATCTTTTCCGCCACGTCGACGACTCCCACAATTTGGGGGATCAACGACCGGCTGACTCGGCAGCCTCGAAGCCACTCACTTCCCTTTCACCACTCCTCGCTGTAGAGACACTCGTTAATCCAAGTACTCAATTGTCTTCCGCAGCTACTCGAAATCGACATCTCCAATATATTATACACGTCGTTGTTTCGCGAACCTTCCCAAACCTGTTCGTCATTGGTGCGCGTACAAACAAAGCAGAGGCGCGAAACTCTGACAGGCAACTGCCGTTGACGTGTGGGAAACGCTTCAATTCCCGTCAGTCAACGTCTTGGTCCGTCTTTCGGCAAAATCAATGGCGGACCACTCCCTGCGTCAGATGTATTTTCAGAACTGATGAGGTTCTTTTCTTATTGATAGGCCTTTCGAGTTCTCCTTAGCCAGTCGGACGTCTGTATACGGAGCCGTCTGTTTGTTCTTTTTGCTGAAGTTTATTGGTAACGCACACCCCATTCTCTTTCCCATCACCTCGCTTCTTATATTCGACTGGTTTTAGTGTGTCGGGAGCGAAGCGATCAAAGCCTAGAGTTAACAGAAGATTTTATATCTCAGCCATGATCATCGAGGAGCTGCCGAGTGGCCCGCAGGCGGCGGCGGAACTTGCGGCGAAAGGCGACGCGCAGTTTGTGGACGAGGACTACGACGCGGCCGTGGATCTGTACACGCAGGCGATCAGCGCGAATGGCGCGACCGAAACTCTTCTGTGCAAACGGGCAGCCGCGCACATTAAGCTCGAGAATTTCACAGGTGTTTCTCGCGTCCTCATCAATGGTTCCTCGATAAATTGATGTGTGCGCCGTTTTCGCACTTTCTTGCAGCAGTTTCGTCGCGACGGCTGAATGCAGCAATGTCTGCTTGGCGCTTGTGAAGTACTTCTCGATCGCTCTTGTAGCAGTGCTGGCGGAGCGGTGATGTGAAGAGAAAATAGGTTGAATTTGGTTCTTACGAAACCTCGCCTGCTAAGAACCACTACTGCTCGGTATTATGTTCTTCACGCATGCGGTGGCGGATGCAGGGGTTGCGTAGATATCCGAGTCGTTAACAAAATCGGATGCGGATTGTGCGGATAACGTAGAATCCGGTGCGGAGGCAGCTTTGAGTCCAACCTTTGACGCTATTGTTTTGTTTTATGTTCTGGCAGATGCGGTGGCAGATGCAAATGCGGCGATCAAGCTGAACCCGTCTTACGCGCTGGCCTACCTGCGTAAAGGGTGCGTGGCTTACAAATCCTTCTTGCTGACCTGTTCATCTTATCCTCTTACTCTCCCCTCTCTCGTTAACTTCCCGTCGCTTCTGAACGTATTGTATGCATCCGTATCCATGTTATTTGTTGCTCGTGTGGGGTTACCCCTGTGTCAGTGTCTGCACTTTTTGTTATTCCTCGTTTTTGCGTACTCCCTGCCCCTTCTTTCTTTCTTCTTCCCAGCGTCGCGTGTCACCACCTAGAGGAGTACGAGACGGCACTGGCAGCGTTCAAGGCGGGAGCCATTTTGGAGCCCAATAATGACTGTGCTAACGTTGATAGCTCTCTGCCCCCCACCCCTCCACCCCACCCCCCTTCCCCAGCGTCGCCTGTCACCACCTAGAGGAGTATGAAACAGCACTGGCAGCGTTCAAGGCAGGAGCCAAGCTGGGTTTAAGCAGAAGTCTGCTAACGTTGATATATCTCTGCCTTTTCCCTCTCTTCCTTCCCAGAGTCGCCTGCCATCATCTAGAGGAGTATGAAACGGCCCTGGCAGCGTTCAAGGCAGGAGCCAAGCTGGATTTAAGCAGAAGTCTGCTAGCGTTGATATATCTCTGCCTTTTGCCTCTCTTCCTTCCCAGAGTCGCCTGCCATCATCTAGAGGAGTATGAAACAGCCCTGGCAGCATTCAAGGCGGGAGCCAAGCTGGAGCCGGATAACTCCAAGTTCAAAAACGGCATTCGCAAGGCAGAGGCGGAGCTGCAGAGCCAAGGTGGGTGATTGTAACGAGAATTCTGTGATTGAGTAGAGTAGGTCAGGGTCCTTCGTGTCTCCCTCCCCTCCTCGCCTCCCTCCCTCATCGTCTCCCTCCCCTCCTCGCCTCCCTCCCTCAATGTCTTCCTCCCTCCCCTCCCCTCCCGTCCCCTCCCCTCTGCTTCCCTGCTTGCCTGTATCCTCCGCTCTCATGTTTGTTCTTCTCACTCTTATCGTCCGGTCTGGTTCTTTCTCTCCGTTTCCCCGCCCTCCACTGTTTCCATTCAATCACACAGAAGAAGACATGACAGTTGACGCCCCTGCCCCCTCTACTGCTCCATCCACGTCAGAAGCTCCTGCCCGCGCCCCCACTGCCTCGGTTCCTCTTTCTCTCAGTGTCCCCCTGCCCACCACTGTTTCCATTCAATTGCGCAGAGGAAGACATGACAGTTGACGCCCCTGCCGCCTCTGCTGCTCCATCCGCGACAGAAGCCCCTACTGCCACCACTGCCTCTCCTGCGCCTGCTCCCCCTGCTCCTTCTGCTCCTGTCTCTACACCAGCGCCGGCACCAGCACCAGCACCTAAGTATAGGTGAGGATACTGGTTCTTTAGTCAAGCAGTGGATTACCATACAAAAATTGCAGGTCTGAAATCAGATTCGTTCCAACCCCAGGCATGAGTTCTATCAGTCGGCCACAACAGTGGTGGTGACTGTGTTTCGCTAAGGGGAGCAAGAGTTGCGCGGGTTAACATCGATTTCTCTCATTTGCCAATGACAAGCATCCTTGGCTTTTCCCCTTCCCACCCCCAGGCACGAGTTCTATCAGTCGGCCACAACAGTGGTGGTGACTGTGTTCGCCAAGGGCATTTCATCAGAGCAGCTGAAAGTGCAGATCGGAGAGCAAGTGGTGAGTTTCTAACCCCTACCCCCCCTCCCCCCCCCCCCCCTTTTTTTTAGAACTTTTCCTCTTCTCATGTGTTTTTCCTGCCGTTTTCCCCGTGTTTCACCTGCCTCCGCTCCACTATTTCAAGGCCCACCCGCTCACCTTTGTCTCATCTGCTGTCTCGTCTGCTGCTTCGTCTGCTGTTTTCGCAGCTGAGTGTGGTGATCGAATCGACCAATGACGAGCCGCCATATGTCCTGCAGCTGCGGCTGTTTGGAAAGGTGGGTGTTGCAAAGCAGTGTGGGGGGTGGAAGGGGGTCGGGTGTCGGTGGGTGGAAAGTGCGGGTGGCTATATCTACCCTAAACTGCAGAATAAGGCTTGAATTTTGCAAATTCTGGCCTCTCAGGGCATTTGGAGAAATCTCATGGCGCTCAGCCTCAGGGCGTTTAGGGAGAGGCAAAGGCCATTCCCTTCTATCGCATTCAGCTCCCCCCTTTCTCGCTCCTTTCCCAACCACGTGTCCCCCTACCCCCTTCAGGTGTACCCAGCGCACAGCAAGCACGTTTTGATGAACACCTAGGTCGAGGTTTGACTGGCCGATCAAGGCAGAGGCCATTACATTTTGAGACTCTCAGTACCTCCCTCCCGTTCCGACTTCCTTCCTCTGCTGCCTGCTGCCTGCTTCCCCTTCAGGTAGACTGGACCCTGCGAAGAGCAAGCACGTGTTGATGAGCACCAAGGTGGAGGTGCGGCTGGCCAAGGCAGAGAGACCATTCACTTCTGAGCGCTGTACTCCCCCACCCGCCCACCTTTCGCCTTCCTTCCCCTACTCCCTCTCCACCTTCTCTCCCCTACCAGGTGGACACGGCAAAGAGCAAGCACGTGTTGATGAGCACCAAGGTGGAGGTGCGGCTGGCCAAGGCAGAGAGACCATTCACTTCTGAGCGCTGTACTCCCCCACCCGCCCACCTTTCACCTTCCTTCCCCTACTCCCTCTCCACCTTCTCTCCCCTACCAGGTGGACCCGGCAAAGAGCAAGCACGTGTTGATGAGCACCAAGGTGGAGGTGCGGCTGGCCAAGGCAGAGAGACCATTCACTTCTGAGCGCTGTACTCCCCCACCCGCCCACCTTTCACCTTCCTTCCCCTACTCCCTCTCCACCTTCTCTCCCCTACCAGGTGGACCCGGCAAAGAGCAAGCACGTGTTGATGAGCACCAAGGTGGAGGTGCGGCTGGCCAAGGCAGAGAGACCATTCACTTCTGAGCGCTGTACTCCCCCACCCGCCCACCTTTCGCCTTCCTTCCCCTACTCCCTCTCCACCTTCTCTCCCCTACCAGGTGGACCCGGCAAAGAGCAAGCACGTATTGATGAGCACCAAGGTGGAGGTGCGGCTGGCCAAGGCAGAGAGACCATTCACTTCTGAGCGCTGTACTCCCCCACCCGCCCACCTTTCACCTTCCTTCCCCTACTCCCTCTCCACCTTCTCTCCCCTACCAGGTGGACCCGGCAAAGAGCAAGCACGTGTTGATGAGCACCAAGGTGGAGGTGCGGCTGGCCAAGGCAGAGAGACCATTCACTTCTGAGCGCTGTACTTCCCCACCCGCCCACCTTTCACCTTCCTTCCCCTACTCCCTCTCCACCTTCTCTCCCCTACCAGGTGGACCCGGCAAAGAGCAAGCACGTGTTGATGAGCACCAAGGTGGAGGTGCGGCTGGCCAAGGCAGAGAGACCATTCACTTCTGAGCGCTGTACTTCCCCACCCGCCCACCTTTCACCTTCCTTCCCCTACTCCCTCTCCACCTTCTCTCCCCTACCAGGTGGACCCGGCAAAGAGCAAGCACGTGTTGATGAGCACCAAGGTGGAGGTGCGGCTGGCCAAGGCAGAGAGACCATTCACTTCTGAGCGCTGTACTCCCCCACCCGCCCACCTTTCACCTTCCTTCCCCTACTCCCTCTCCACCTTCTCTCCCCTACCAGGTGGACCCGGCAAAGAGCAAGCACGTGTTGATGAGCACCAAGGTGGAGGTGCGGCTGGCCAAGGCAGAGAGACCATTCACTTCTGAGCGCTGTACTCCCCCACCCGCCCACCTTTCGCCTTCCTTCCCCTACTCCCTCTCCACCTTCTCTCCCCTACCAGGTGGACCCGGCAAAGAGCAAGCACGTGCTCATGAGCACCAAGGTGGAGGTGCGGCTGACCACGACCAAAGCTAATCCCTATCAATCATTCCCCCATCCCCTCCCCTTCTCCCCCTCAGGTGGACCCGGCAAAGAGCAAGCACGTGCTGATGAGCACCAAGATCGAGGTGCGACTGGCTAAGGCGGGGAGTCATTCACTCCTGAGACACTCAGCACCCCTCTCTGTTTGACCTTCCTCCTGCTGCTGCTGCTTGCCACCCTTTCAGGTGGACCCATCAAAGAGCAAGCACGTGCTGATGAGCACCAAGATCGAGGTGCGACTGGCTAAGGCGGGGAGTCATTCACTCCTGAGACACTCAGCACCCCTCTCTGTTTGACCTTCCTCCTGCTGCTGCTGCTTGCCACCCTTTCAGGTGGACCCATCAAAGAGCAAGCACGTGCTGATGAGCACCAAGACGGGGTGCGACTGGCTAAGGCGGGGAGTCATTCACTCCTGAGACACTCAGCACCCCTCTCTGTTTGACCTTCCTCCTGCTGCTGCTGCTTGCCACCCTTTCAGGTGGACCCATCAAAGAGCAAGCACGTGCTGATGAGCACCAAGATCGAGGTGCGACTGGCTAAGGCGGGGAGTCATTCACTCCTGAGACACTCAGCACCCCTCTCTGTTTGACCTTCCTCCTGCTGCTGCTGCTTGCCACCCTTTCAGGTGGACCCATCAAAGAGCAAGCACGTGCTGATGAGCACCAAGATCGAGGTGCGACTGGCTAAGGCGGGGAGTCATTCACTCCTGAGACACTCAGCACCCCTCTCTGTTTGACCTTCCTCCTGCTGCTGCTGCTTGCCACCCTTTCAGGTGGACCCATCAAAGAGCAAGCACGTGCTGATGAGCACCAAGATCGAGGTGCGACTGGCTAAGGCGGGGAGTCATTCACTCCTGAGACACTCAGCACCCCTCTCTGTTTGACCTTCCTCCTGCTGCTGCTGCTTGCCACCCTTTCAGGTGGACCCATCAAAGAGCAAGCACGTGCTGATGAGCACCAAGGTGGAGGTGCGGCTGGCCAAGGCGGAGGCCATTCACTGGACGGCTCTGGAGGCGACCAGGCGACCAGCCGTGGTGCAGCCTGTGAACGTGTCTGATGGTGGGTGGTGTGCGGTGCGGTGCGGTGGGGTGGGGGATGGTTGTGTTGGGCTTGGGGGATGGTTGGGGTGGGTGGAGGTGCGGCTAGCCAAGGCGGAGGCCATCCACTGGACGGCCTTGGAGGCCACCAGACGGCCGGCCGTGGTGCAGCCTGTGAACGTGTCCGATGGTGGGTGGGGTGCGGTGGGGTGGGTGGGAAGGAGAGAGGGGCGGAGGGGACAGGGCATAATGGGCCTTTAAGGTCGAGGTGCGTTTGGCCACGGCGGAGGCCATTCACTGGATGGATTTGGAGGCAACCAGGCGACCGGCTGTGGTGCAGCCTGTGAACGTGTCCGATGGTGGGTGGCGTGGGGTGGGGTGGGGTGGTGTGGGGCTACGATAGCAAGCAAGGCGGAGGCCATTCACTGGACTGCGCTGGAGGGGAGGCGACCAGGCGACCGGCTGTGGTGCAGCCTGTGAACGTGTCCGATGAAGGCGAGCAGCAGGGAGGGGAGGGTAGGCTACGACCAAGGGCCCCGAGTCTCGTGTTGACTTTTGAGTCGACTCATTGAGTGAGTTTACTTTTGAGTCGACTCAAAAGTCAAGTCGACTCAAAAGTCAACTCGGCGAGCAGCAGGGAGGGGAGGGTAGGCTACGACCAAGGGCCCCGAGTCTCGCTTCGCCCAGTAGACTCCTTGGAGAAGCTGAGAGTAAAATGTGTCATATAGAGTAATATGCACCCTTCGTCCCATAGAGTAATATGTCTCTTCCGCTCCCCCTCCCCTTTCCTGTCCCCGTTTCCCCTTGTCCTCTATTCCCCCTTTCCCCTCACCAGAAACCGCTGAGAAGCTGAAGCATATGTACCCTTCGTCCCCTGTACTGACCTGACTCTTCCTCCGCCTCCCCCTCTCCCCCCTTCCCCATACCCGCTTTTGTTCTCCTTTTCCGTCCACCAGAAACCGCGGAGAAGCTGAAGCATATGTACCCTTCGTCACGCAAGCAGCATGTGAACTGGGACCAGCTGGAGGCGGAGGTGAAGGCAGAGGTGAGCTTAGTCAACGCGGGTCAATGCAGGTCACAGCAGGTAAGCAGTGTGTGAACTGGGACCAGCTGGAAGGGAAGCGGAGGTGAAGGCAGAGGTGAGCTGAGTCAACGCAGTTCAATGCAGGTCACAGCAGGTAAGCAGTGTGTGAGCTGGGACCAGCTGGAGGCGGAGGTCAAGGCCGAGGTAGGTCAACGCAGGTCAACGCAGGTCAACCTAGATTAACATAGGCCAATGCACGTCAGTGCAGGGCAAGCAGCATGTGAACTGGGACCCGCTGGAAGCAGAAGTCAAGGCCGACGTAGGTCAATGCAGGTCAATACAGGTCAACCCTTTGCCAACCCAGGTCAATCTGGATCCACCCAGGTCAAGCAGCATGTGAACTGGGACCAGCTGGAGGCGGAAGTCAAGGCAGAGGTGAGCTGAGTCAATGCAGGTCAACACAGGTCAATCCCATGTCAACCTAGGTCAACCTGGGTCCACCCAGGTCAAGCAGCATGTGAATTGGGACCACCTGGAAGCGGAAGTCAAGGCAGAGGTAAGCTGAGTCAACGCTGGTCAATGCAAGTCAACAGAGGGGAAGCGGCATGTGAATTGGGACCAGCTGGAAGCGGAGGTCAAGGCAGAGGTGAGCTGGTTAAGTCAACACAGGTCAACACAGGTCAATACCGGTTAACCCAGGTCCACCCAGGTCAACCCAGCTCTATCTCTGTATCGCCAGGAGAAGGGCGAGAAACTGGAGGGAGACGTGATGATGGGGATCTGAAAGTATACACACAAATATATATGTATATATTTACATATATATATTTTTATCGTTTTTTACTGTTTTGTATGCTTTTTAAGTTGTCCGTCCTTTCTCTCTCTTGCCTTCACTCTGTGTGTATATCAACTGCCAGGAGTAGGGCTAGGAGCTGGATGGAGGTGTAGCATTCAACGACTTCCTTCCTTTAAGGTCTAATGAAGGGGAACTGAAAAAAGCAACTGCCATATTCCTACCCCCGTCCCTCTCTGTACTTATTAACTGCCAGGAGAAGGACGAGAAGCTGGATGAGGACGCGGCTCTCAACAAGCTCTTTCAAGGCGTGAGAAAACAGTTCTTTTTTCAACTGTCCCTTTTTCCGTTTGCTCTGTCTGTGTTCATATCCGTTCCCAGGAGAAGGACGAGAAGCTGGATGGGGACGCGGCTCTCAACAAGCTCTTTCAAGACATCTATGCAGGGGCAGACGAGGAGACCCGTCGCGCCATGAACAAGTCGTTTGTGAGTGCCCTTTGCCTCCTACTCTCGCCTCACCCCTTTTTGGATTTTGAGAGACTTCAACCTCACTATAAGACATCTACGCGGGGCAGACGAGGAGACCTGTCGTGCGATGAACAACTCGTTTGTAAGTGCCCCCCACCCGCCACTCCCCCTTCCGATCCCTTGCCCTCTGTCTCACACACACCTCCCCCTCGCCCCCCCCCTCCGTGCTAGAATTAAGACTTCTTAAGTCATTTATTTCGGTTAAATTTCTTAGATACACGCCACGCTGTGACAAAGATTCGCATGAGTGTTTGTCTCGTGTGATGGTTTGGGGCTTCTTTTTCCACCCCCACCCGCTCCCCCTCCCCTCCTAACACCCTCACTTTTCTCTGCCCAACCCCTTTCCTGATTGCAGGTGGAATCAAAAGGCACAGTGCTGTCAACAAACTGGAAGGAGGTTGGGTCTGGGAAGGTTGATGCCAAGGATTGAGTAGGCTTGGAGCACTGAGAAGACATAGAGTACTGCATCTAAGCAGCTTGCAGTTTAGGTGTGTGGTGGGTTGAGAGAGTAAAGGAGATTTAGAGCCTTGACCATTCTGGTGAATGGATTGTCCCGTGCGTTCTGGGTTCATGTACCAGCACTCAGCCTTTACTGCAAATTGGACGCTAGGGCACTGGATATTATCACCCCTCATCGCCTTGTGATCAACCAAGGTGGCTGCACGGAATGTCCCTGATCTTACAAAGCTGCAATGTGCACCAAATGTAGTTCCACGTGCACAAAACATTTCCCCAGCAGTCTTGTATTTTGTAGCAAGGTGATGCTAGCGAGTATCAGCTGCTTCGGCAAAACCAATCGAGTTTGTTGCATGAGCCCCCCATATGGCACAACATGCGAACAGTTGCGACTCGACTCGAGCGACAAGTCGGGTTCTGCTGTGGCCAATCGTGGATAAGCCCAACAACCTGTGGGACGCCAGCTAAGCCGAATCAGCCCATCAGCGAGATCCGACCGCTCATCTTGTTACCATGAGATACGCTCTTTTTGACACTTATGCGGTCTTGAATTTTCCTTGCTTGTCCAGGCAGGTTCGAGCCGAATCGCGTGACCAAGACGCCGAGGCCACATGCGCGGCGCGACTCATACGCCCACGGCTCACATGTGGAATCCTTGTGGAAATTGGTGCACGATCACATAGGGTATCAATCGCGCTGCCAAAGCTTTCCAGTTGCTTATCCTGCCGAGGGCGAGTCTGGACTCTGGAGCACCTCCTCACCCCACCTGCTCAGCGTTCTGACAAATAAGTTCACGGTGCTTCATCTATCATCACTCATCAAGAACGCATTGAGCAAGAAGCTTCACAACCTCCATCAATCCAAGTAGCACTCACACCTCACACTACCCACACGCCTCGCACGCCTGCCTCGGAGGCAGACTCTGCCTCTCGCTCCTCGCCTCGCGTTTCAAAAATTACAACTGGCAAGCTGATACTGCTAGTGACACAGCCTCCACTCAGGCACGCATCCGTTTAACTCCCGAGGCGCCCCGGAAACCCGTCCGAGCGGAATCATGGGGATCTCTCTTCGGGCGGTCGCGATACTCTTTCTCGTTGGGTCCATCTCCGCAACCGTCGTATCCGCCGCTGAGCCGTACCTAGTGACCAAAGCCAAGCAGCTTCGCGGCATCGCCGACACCGCGCAAGCGGATCTCGACGCCGCTAATGCGCTTCTCCAGCAGCGGCAGGCGGAAGAAGCGCCTTTCGCACAAAAGGCGGCGGCCGCGGATGCGGAAGCCGCCGCCGCAACGACGGAGCTCAACAACAAGCGCGCCGAGCTCGAGGCGTCAAAAGTGGAGCAGGAAACGGCTCGTCAGGCGCTGATTCAGGCGAAGCAGAATTCGCGCGACGAGCGTTCGTACTACGACGATCTCGAGTCGCAGGCCGAAGAGGCACTCTTTGAAGAGAGCGAGGCCGCCAAGGACGTGCTGGATGCCATTTCCCGCCAGAACACCACCGCGGTCGTGCTATCCGAGCAGCAGAAAATCTCGACGGAGGCTTACAATGACGCTGTCGCCGCGGCTCGGTCAGCGGCTCGCCTCGAAACCCCAGAGGCCAAGGCGCTTCAGACGGAATTGTATAACGTCAAGCTGCAAGCGGATCGCATCCTTGGCGCCGTGAAGAAACAATCCGACCGCGCCGTCCAGCGTGTGTCGGAGAGGCAGACGGAAAGCGAGAAGGTCAAGAAGGACAAGAGCGATACTCGCGGCGCGGCGAACGAGCAGAAGGTAATCAAGGAAAAGGCGGAGAAGGACGAGGCCGACTCGAACGTATTTTTCACCAAGGCGATCGGTAAGACCAAGAACTTGGATACCGCGGTGAAAGCGGCGGGGCAGAATTACAACGCGAAGGTGAAGGCGCAGCGGGACGCGAAGATTGCGCTGGCGCCCAAGGCCAATGCGCGCGCGGCGCAGGAGCGCACCGTGGCGGTGAGGAAGACGCGCGCGGACGCGGCGAAGGGGAACGCGGATAACTCGGAGAAGGAAGCAAGGGGGAAAGGTCTCAACTGGTAGGGATTTTAGATGGCAACGTCGGAATGGCCGAGGAATTGAGATGAAAAGGCATCTGGTTTCTGGAATGGCGCTTGGGTTCTGGAGTGGCGCATTTGCGGCGCAACGCTGATGATGAAGGCCTGTTCGTGGAGCCGCACCGAGGCTTTATAATAAGAGGATCGATTAGTTTAGAACATGTCCTCGCAGCGTTTCTGTTTGGGAAGGTCTGTAAAGTTGATTCACGTTTCTGGGGTGGCTAGCATATGGGTGGACGCATTGGGATTTTATATTATTCTCGTTCCTGCATCTGAAAACAAGGCTCGGTTTGTTTGTTCGACCTTGCAGCAGCAGAAATATATTATTGATTATCCACACATCAAGCGCTTCTGTAATTGTCTTAGATACCGCACATACTCAATCCCATGGCATTAACCCCATTTCCCGCTTCATGGCTCTTCTGGAGATGTTGTATTGTATGAACCAGAGAGGGAAGTAAGCCATGACCCACGTTACACTCCAGAACCAGAAGTAGAGGTACAAGATGTCCTCCTCACAGCATAACTATCACCTAGGTCGTTCAACCATTACTTCCAGAACAAGTTGTGCTGTCCTCAGCACATATTTTAAAGTCCGAAGACACAGTTCCATAATACACTCTGCTGCATGCTCAGCTCAGCGTGGCCATTTATGCAGGCAACTCGCTTGGAATAACCTGTGCTTTCAAGTATGCATTCATAATGCATGGTACCTCCTTATGCCTCGTTCATGTAGAACCTTTCCATAGCGACCACCATGTGATGTGACATGTCAAAGCAAGTATTTTGAATCTGAGTTTTTTATTCGTACACTTCCCTATATGATATGAATTCTGTGCAATTCACATATTCCCAGTTTTCCCTACAACTAGTGCTATTTAGCCTTTTGTTTTCACAGCTTCACATTTAGACATTTTCTGCAAGCAGTCAAGAGCATGTATAGTCAAGGGCAAGACAAACAATGAAGTCAAGCACCCAGTATCGCGAATTTGGATCGTTCCGCAAGCGTTTCGCAAACAAATTTCCCTCCCCAGCAGATGTACCACTTCGTGCGGTTCGCCAAGTGTGGGAGGCAACCATCATCCACCAATTTCCACTGTCTCCCTGCTAGCGTTTGGAGGATGAACAGCTGGCTTGGCGCGCGCTTGTGACCCGAATCTTCGCGAGACACATCTGCTCGATTTTGCTCGAAACCCTACCCCAACGTAGAGTAACGTAAAGATGCTGTTCCGAAACGTACAAAATCGCATCTCACCGTAACAAAGTGAACTCATATGACTCCCACAGAGATGGTTCGCAACCTGGCGCGGGACACACTGAAGCCCTACCAAACGAACCTCAGGCCCTCCACAAACAACTTGAGGTTGGAGCACGAAGTACACGAACCTGAATCAACCGTTGTTTATTGCCATGATTCTTTCCCTTCACGCGATGCATCCCACAAAACCACAATCGTACATGTTTTTGGTACAGGCCCCCACATCCCCCAATTCTCCCCTTCCCAAGTCAACGCGCGCCCCGAACACCAACGCGATTCGCCACTGGTGCTTTCGACACACAAATGTCGACATTTCATACAAATGGGGAATATCCTTCTCCAAATCACATCAGTCCCTCCCTCCCAAACTCCTCCAGTTGGCTTATCACTACACAATCTGCCTCGCTTCCCAACACACTCAATCATAATGGCAGCGGTAGTTTTCCACGCGTTTCAGGCTCAGGTGGCCGTGAGCCTCCTCATCCTCCTTGCCATTCTTCCGTCGTCGCATGCGCAAAGCTCTTACCTCGTCGTTCGAGCGAAGCAGCTCAGAGCCGCATCTGACTCTTACGCCGCGGATCTCAAGGCCGCGCAAGCCGTCGCTGCACAGAAAGCGCAGGATGAAGCCGATGCTGCCGCCGCGATCTCCGCTATCGAGAATGACAATACCGCGGATAATCTCCGCTCCACTCTGGACAGCATGAAAGACGCCATGGATGCCGCTAAGTACGACCTCGACGACGCGAACAGAATCTTAACTTTCCGCAAGCAGGCCTACATTCAGGCGCAGATCGATCCCACCAGCCACCCCGAGCTTCCCGCAGCCACAAAAGCCGTCAACGACGCGGCGCGCCGTGTGAAAATGACCGCAGCGCTTCTCGACGAATGGCGCAACGTCATCGCGGACGCGGCGGCGGCGATCAAGGATGCGCTGCAGGCGTACGAGAAAGACCCGTCGCCGGTTAATAAGGTGGCTGTTGCGGAAGCGGAATCCGTTCAGTCGTCTGTGGAGGAGGTTCTCCCGGATATTGAGAGCCAGGCGGATCGCGCGAAGGCGAAACTCGCCAAGGCTCAGAATAACTACCAGAGGCTCGTCACCCTGGGCCCCCAGAGCGTCGACATTTTCAAGTCTGCGTTGGACGACGCGACGAACGACGTCGCACTGGCGCAGAGGTCGTACGACGACGCGATGGCGATCTACAACGACGCTGTCGCAGCGCTGGACAACTTCATGGCGAAGCAGGTCAAGGCGCTGGCGGCGGCGAAGGCCAACCTCGCGGCGGTGAAGATAAACCGCGCGGTGGCGGATAAGCGCGTGGTGCAGCTGGCGGATCGCGCCAAGGCAGGCCTTGCGCGCGCCGTGGATGCGGAAAAGGCGGTGCAGGATGCGACGGTGGTTATCAAGCCGTGAGAAAATGATACGTGGGGTATAGCGACGCGCGTATGTATTTCAAGAATGCTGGCGGTTGGTGTGTTGGGCGGTAGCATCCTTGAGGGAGAGCATAATTTCTTTCTCTTGGATGCAAATAATGCGGCATTTGTGTTGGGTGCCTTACCCAACCCCGCTGCCCCTCTCTTGGCGTGGTGATATTAGTAATCCGGCTGGTTAATTATATTTATTATTATCATTTATGGAGAACTGGAGAACTGCATCTCAGTGTCCATTTACCATTGGATGTGGTTCTCAGCAGCCACTGCTCTCAGATAATCCAGTGTTGAACCTGCTCAACTTATACCCTTGATTTCCAGCAACACTGATCTCTTTTGGAGTAATCCCCCACGGCCCCAATATCACAATTTCCTTATTCTCAACTATATCAAACAAACTGGGTGCTGGATAATATCATGAGGACTTTCAATGCCCCATACGCATGTATCGATGCGGCCTACAGATGGTTGGGACTGAAATGAGGAGGTATACAACATTTGTTAGCGGGGTAACGTCAATACTGCTATATCCGCCAACAGGCCACCTTACATATCATATGCTTGATATTTTCTATGGGGGAGGGGATGAAATATACCATGCAATGCATACATCCACAGTCGTAACTGTGTGACGCGATAATATATTACACGTTATCCTCGACAAGAGAATGAAACAGAAAGCAACATGTTCGCGCGAGAACGAAGCAGACCCTCCAGCCTCCATTTTGTTCGAATCTGGAAAATCCCAGAAAATCCTCACCAGCCACATGTGATGTGACACCCCCGTCAGCTCAGCTCATCTGCCTTGAGCGTGCCGAGTCACGCAAGACCATTGGTCAGATCCACCTCACCACCCGCAGCCCGTGGTCTCATATGTACCTAGTTGACCCATCCGAATCGCTTTCGTTGGATTTGCCTTTGAGACTGGGAGAATGTGTGGCTGTCAGGAATGGTGTCATGGGCGCCATCAATGGACCCATGGTGGCTAAGGAAGGACCAAGGACAACAACAAGCTGGGTGGATGTGTGGTGGTGAAATCGAAAAGCTGGATAAAATTGATTGGTTTGGCTGGTAGTGCTGTCCTCGCCACACCATCTCAACGACATGTTGGCGAGGCGCAAACACTGCTGTGGAAGCAGGAATTTTGTTTCGCACAAATCGCGAGGGAGATTTCGCAGGCGTCGTGAAGAAAGTGTATTCAGCATATCCAACACCACACTGCACCACACATACCTCCGCGGATGCTATGCTAGCTTGTTACCTCAGGCAGGCCACAACCGCCGCCATTTCACGCGCTTTCTTTATTTGTAAGTCTGTACTGTATGTCCGACGTACACGTAGGCAGACATGCTCTTACAGGCTCCAGCAGCATCAAGCAAGAGACGATGGCTGGCGCTAATAGGCACACATCCACTTCTCCCTGTGTGTATAACGAGTGTGGTGTTTATCCTGAATTTCGCTTCCCTCACCTATTCGACGAGGAATGGGCGAGCTATTTGTGCTTTCCTGGGCCGTGTCACGTTAGGGACCAGGGCTCCTGATCACGCATCTCTTTCTGATCCCAGTTTCCGTCTCCAACCTGCATCAAGTCGCCAGACGACTGTTTTCATTTTCCAAAGTTTGCCCTTGCGGCGTCAATTAAACATCTCGGGGATTAGTACGGAGTCGTCACCGATCAATCCACCGCAGCCGGCCGGCGGCGGGCCGCCGCCTCTTCCTCCCTCCAATAGCCCTGATCATTTTTTATTCATTTCTTGGATATTCCTGTTACCTCCGAAAATTCGGATAGCAGCGAAACTCGACTCGAGACTCGCCCAACACCGAGCCGACTGGCCCGATCGTAGCTCTCGCATTTGGATATCGGTTCGGCCCGACCAAGATGGCTGGTCTGGTTGCCGCGCTTGACCCACCAATTTCGGAGATTAGCTATACTGTAGGTCAGGGTAAAGACCGATTATTCGTCCCGGTCCGATCTCATCGGCACGCGCCGCGGCGACGCGCCGCCGCTGCCCTCCGGTTCTCCCTCCTCATGGCGCTTCTGATTTCCGCCGTCCCCGTGATGTGCGGCGTCAATCACGCTGATCAGCCCCGGATTGACCGCGCGCCGAGTAGAGGGAATGGCGGTGGGTGGGCGGCTGCTCTCGCGTCGTCTGCCGCGGCTCGGCAAACAGGAGCCGTTGCCGGCAATTCGAGGCGGGAAACTCTCTCATTGGCTCCACGACTTGCGGCCACGTGGCGTAACCCCGTTGGCGTTCACCGTCTCAGGTACAGAGTGCCTCCTTCCGTCCTACTAACACGTGGCGTAACCCCGTTGGCCCCCCGGATCTACTGCTCTCCTTTCTGTTGGTTACCGGGTGCAGTGAGGGCAGCCTTCCACCCAACCTAGCCCCCTTTCCCTTACTCCAACCCACCCCCTCCCTCTTTCCGCCTCAATTACCCCACCTGTCCAACCCGCTTTCTCTATCCCTCCCCCCCGCTCCCCCCTTCCCCTTCTCCGCAGGTATCAGGGGAAGCGCCGCAGCAGTGCTGTCCTCACTGCACCGGGTAACCAGCCGCAACCAGCAGCTCTCCTCACCATTCCCCCCTCCCCCCGCCCCCCATCTCCTCCCCTTCCCCTTCTCCGCAGGTATCAGGGGAAGCGCCGCAGCAGTGCTGTCCTCACTGCACCGGGTAACCAGCCGCTCTCCCCACCTCCCCCTCCCCTTCCTCCTCCTGCTCCTCTCGCCGCTCCTGCACCCAAGCAGTCTCTTTCACTCTCCCCAGCAGCAGCACCGCCAGAAGCAGCAGCAGCAGCAACCCCAGCAGTAGCAGAAGCAGTAGCAGTAGCAGGGGGAGGAAAACCAAGGGCAGCAATAGCGCGGTTGAACGTGCGTTTTGGTCCCAGAGAAAGTAGTGGGAACTTCACATCGGGAGCAGCAGCGGCAACAGCAGCAGCAGCAGCAGCAGCAGCAGCAGCAGCAGCAGCAGCAGCAGCAGCAGCAACCCCAGCAGCAGCAGAAGCAGAAGCAGAAGCAGAAGCAGTAGCAGAAGCAGTAGCAGAGGGAGGAAATGTAAGGGCAGCAATCGCGAGGCTGAACGTGCGTTTTGGTCCCAGAGAAAGTAGTGGGAACTTCACATCGGGAGCAGCAGCGGCAACAGCAGCAGCAGCAGCAGCAGCAGCAGGAGCAGCAGCAGCAGCAGCAGGGCCAGTAGCAGCAGCAGGGCCAGTAGCAGCAGCAGGGCCAGTAGCAGCAGCAGGCGCAGCAGTAGCAAGAGCAGCAGCAGTAACAGCAGCTGAAATCTCATCTCCTGGTGTCCCACACAATAATTCCTCTCTCAGTAATTCCTCTCTCAATAATTCCTCTCTCAATAATTCCTCTCTCAATACTGCCCCTCTCAATAAGCCGCTCTCCCAGGGGGGAATGAAGCATGGCTGCCACAGGTGGCCGTGCAGCGTGCGCCCCAGCCTGTGCGGCGTGATGCATCGCCCCATCCGCGTCTACCTCATCTGGTATGGGCCGTTCTCCGCCGCGCAGAAGAACATTCTCAGGAGCTTCATCCGGTCGATCTCGGACCGCAGGGACCCCGCGAACACAGGTGTGTGTGTGTGAGGAACGGGCCTGTGTGGGGGAGGCTGTGTGTCCCTGTGTTTGTGTGTGAGGAACGGGCCTGTGCGGGGTGAAGCTGTGACTTTTGAGTAACTGTGGGCCTGTGTCGACGCAAAAGTCACCTCAAAGGGCGGCCCTGTGCGGCGTGATGCATCGCCCCATCCGCGTCTACCTCATCTGGTATGGGCCGTTCTCGGGAGAGCAGAAGAACATCCTCAGGAGCTTCATACAGTCGATTTCCGACAGGAGAGATCCCGCTAACACAGGTGGGTGACTGCGGGGGATGGGGGAGGGGGGAGGGGGGAGGAGGGAAGGGGAGGGCTGGCAGCTGGGGCTGTGCGTGTGTGTGCGTGCGGTGTGTGTGGGATGTGTGTGTTGGGGGGAGGATGGCCGTGCAGCGATTGTTGAGGCGCCTAAAAAATCGGCTGTTTTTGAGGCGCCTAAAAAATCGGCTGTGCGTGTGTGTGCGTGCGGTGTGTGTGGGATGTGTGTGTGGGATGTGTGTGTGGGATGTGTGTGTGGGATGTGTGTGTGGGATGTGTGTGTGGGATGTGTGTGTGGGATGTGTGTGTTGGGGGGAGGATGGCCGTGCAGCGTGCGGCCAGGCCTGTGTGGCGTGAGGCATCGCCCCATCCGCGTCTACCTCATCTGGTTCGGCCCATTCTCTGCCGCCCAGAAGAACATTCTCAGAAGCTTCCTTCTCTCCCTGGTTCCCTCCCTCCCTCACCCCTCTCAGTCCCCAGCTGGTGGGACATCAACCGTCAGAACCACGACCACAGCATTTGCCCAATCTCCTCCTCCGCGCACGTTTCTCCTGTCTCAGCTCCTTCCCTTCCTTCCTCTCTCGCCCCTTCTTTGCTCTCTTTCCCCTGTCGCCACCTCCCTCACCCCTCTCAGTCCCCAGCTGGTGGGACATCAACCGTCAGTACCACGACTGCAGTGGCCGCCCTGTCTCCTCCTCCGTGTCCCTCAAAGGCGAGTCCTCATACCCGTTCGGCCGCCGCTCTTCCCGCCGCCTCTCTTCCGGCCACCCGTCGTCCCCGCACCGCCCGTCTTCACATTGCCGCCCGGTTGGAATCCGTGGTAGCAGTGATAATTACACTGAGAGTGGTAACAGTGATAATTACACTGACAGTGGTAACAGTAGGAGCAATGATAGCAGCAGCCGATACGCAAACAGCAGCAACAGTAACAACAGCGTCAGCAGCAACAACAGCAGCAACAGCAGCAGCAGCAGCAGCAATAACAGCAGCAACAGCAGCAGCAGCAGCAACAACAGCAGCAGCATCAGCAGCAGCAGCATCAGCAGCACCATCGGCAGCACCACCATCAGCAGCAGCAGCATCAGCAGCACCATCGGCAGCACCACCATCAGCAGCAGCAGCATCAGCAGAAGCATCAAGCGCGGCATGCAGGGATTTCGGTGGATAGGCGAGAAAGGCCTTCTCCCGGCGCTCTTTGGCTCCCTGGGATCAACAGCATCGGTGCATGCAGTCATCCGCGAGTCCATCTTGAGGCGCTACCTCCCGTTTGACACCAAGGGAGTTTATTTCGTGATCTCCTCTCCTAGAATGAAACAGGTGAGTGGGTGTGGTAGGGAGTGCAGGTGCAGGTGCAGGTGCTGGTAATTCTCCCTTTGGCTCCCTGGGGTTGACAGCATTGGTGCATGCAGTTATCCGCGAGTCCATATTGAGACGATACCTGCCGTTCGACACCAAAGGCATTTACTTCGTGATCTCCTCTCCCCGCATGAAGAGGGTGAGTGGATGTAGTTGGGCCGGGGGTGGATAGGCGAGAAGGGTATCCTGCCAACGCTCTTTGGGTCGCTCGGATCGACAGCATCGGTGCATGCAGTCATTCGCGAGTCCATCTTGAGACGATACCTGCCGTTTGACACTAAGGGGGTCTACTTTGTCATCTCCTCTCCGAGAATGAAGAGAGTGAGTGGGTTTAGCGTAGTGGGGGCTCTCCTGCCAACGCTCTTTGGTTCCCTCGGATCAACGGCATCGGGGCATGCAGTCATCCACAATTCCATCTTGAGAAGATACCAGCCGTTTGACACCAAGAGCGTTTTTTTTTTTGTTTTTTTTTTTGTTTTTTTTGTTTTTTTTTGTTTTTTTTTTTTTTCGTGTTTTGCTCCCCACGCATGAAACGAGTGAGTGGGTTTGGAGTGAGTGGGTCTGGTAGGGAGTGGGATCAACAGCATCGGTGCTTGCTGGCTTGCAGGCATCAAAGAATGAGTTGACTTTTGAGTCGACTCAAAAGTCATCTGGTAGGGAGTGGGATCAACAGCATCGGTGCTTGCTTGCTTGCAGTCATCAAAGAATGCTGAAGGGGTTTTGCAGCTCCTTCTGTGGCTGGCACTCGTACATCGCCATCATTCTCCCCCACCCGCTTCCTCCAGCGCTCAAACTCTTCCCCCTTCCTCCCTCCCCATCCCCCATCCCCCATCCCCCATCCCCCCCCCCCCCCCCCCCCCGTCCTCCCCCCCATCATTTCCCTGACAGAAGATGATGCTGAAAGGGTTCTGCACCGCCTACTGTGGCTGGCACTCATACCTCATCCTCTCATCCACTGTCAGAATCAAACCGCCATACTCATTCCAACCCTGCCCTCCGTGTTTCCACCCCTCCCCCCCATCATTCCCCTGACAGAAGATGATGCTGAAAGGATTCTGCACCGCCTACTGTGGCTGGCACTCGTACCTCCCCATGATGGGCAAGAGGATCAAGACGAGCCTCGTGGGCAACCCTGCTGGCAGGGTAAGGCCTGGTTGAGTGCAGCTGGATGCGGTTGAGTGAGGTTTATTGGGGCTGAGCGCGGTCGAGTATGGCTCTGTGAAGTTCACTGGCTTGTAACCTAATTCTATGGTGATTCTGTGGCTGGCACTCATACATCCCCATGATGGGCAAGAGGATCAAGACAAGCCTCGTGGGCAACCCTACCGGAAGGGTAAGGCAAGGTTGAATGCGGTTGAGGGACGCTGAGTGAGGCTGAGTGCGGTTGAGTGGTTTTCTGGTGCATTTACCTTGGTTTATTGGTCCTTGTGTGGCTGGCTGGCACTCGTACCTCCCCATGATGGGCAAGAGGATCAAGACCAGCCTCGTGGGCAACCCTGCCGGCAGGGTAAGGCGAGGTTCAGTGCGTTTGAGCTCAGTTGAATGTGAGGCAAGCCGCAAGAGTATGTATGTATGGTCGCAACTCTACCTTTGCCCCTTTCCGTTTTCTCCCCTTTCCCTTGTTCTTACATTCCTGTTCTACTCCCTCCCCTTCTCTTCCCCCTCCTCCCACCCCTCTCAGTGTCTGCCCACCTGTGCAGCATGGGAGGGAGCTAGCAAGCAGCCTGGCGGCCCCCAACAGGGACAAGGGCATGGACGCACTGGTCTCCACCTTAGCCCCTCATCACACCCATACCCTTCTCTTCCCTTGCTCTTCCCTACCCTCCCCCAGTGCCTGCCCACCTGTGTGGCATGGGAGGGAGCTAGCAAGCAGCCTAGCAGCCCCCAACAGGGACAAGGGTATGGACGCACTCGTCTCCACCTTCGCCCACGAGCTTGCAGAGGCCACGAGCGCTGTGCTCTCCCTCACCTCTCTCTTTCCACTCCCACCTCCCTTTCCCCCCTTGACAGTGCCTGCCCAACTGTGCAGCATGGGAGCTAGCAAGCAGCCTAGCAGCCCCCAACAGGGACAAGGGTATGGACGCACTCGTCTCCACCTTCGCCTCTCGTCACACCTATATCATTCTCTGCTCTCTACCCCTTTCCACCCCTCTGCACCCGACAGTGCTTGCCCAACTGTGCATCGTGGGAGCTAGCGTCCAGCATAGCAGCCCCCAACAGGGACAAGGGTATGGACGCACTCGTCTCCACCTTCGCCCACGAGCTTGCAGAGGCCACCAGCGACCCGTACCTGTCTACCTGGATGAATGAGAAGGGAGAGGAGAACGCCGATATGTGCTCCTACAGGTGTGTGGCTCAGTGGGTGTGGGGTGCAGTGGTGTGGGGTTCAGTGGGTGTGGGGTGCAGTGGTGTGGGGTTCAGTGGTGTGGGGTGCAGTGGTGTGGGGTGCAGTGGTGTGGGGTTCAGTGGTGTGGGGTTCAGTGAGTGCATGGTTGAGTGAGCTTGCAGAGGCCACCAGCCACCCGTACCACTCCACGTGGATGGACGAGAAGGGGGATGAGAACGCTGACATGTGCTCCTACAGGTGCGGTTTGTTACGGTGCAGTGCGGTTGAATGCATGGTTGAGTGAGCTCGCAGAGGCCACCAGCGACCCGTTCCTCTCCACGTGGATGGACGAGAAGGGGGGAGAGAATGCCGATGCCTGCTCCTACATGTGCGGTTTGTGTTGCGTTGTGGTGCGGTTTCCTTCCACCCCCCCACCCTTGCTCCCACCTTCTCCCCCCCACCCTTGCTCCCACCACCTCCCCCCCACCCTTGCTCCCACCTTCTCCCCCCCACCCTTGCTCCCACCTTCTCCCCCCCACCCTTGCTCCCACCTTCTCCCCCCCACCCTTGCTCCCACCATTTCCCCCCCCACCCTTGCTCCCACCTTTTTCCCCCCCACCCTCCTTTCCCGTCCCCTCTTCTCTCCCCTCTCTGAATCATTTTTAAAATACATAGGGAGCATTTCCTTATTATTGCTGAGAGTTTGTATAAATTTTATACCCACTAGCACTATTGAAATGTCCGTGCTGTCACAGCTGCCGTGCTGCATTTTTCAAACTCATCGCATCCTTCCTTTCCCACCCCCCCCCTGCCCCATACTTGCATTTGTGGACATCTGTGGTGCTCTGATATCTAACAGCTGAGACATCTCAAGAGTCTTTTTTCAAACTCAACGCATCCTTCCTTTCCCCCACCCCACCCTGCCCCGTATCTGCATTTGTGTACACCTGTGGTGTTCTGATATCCAACAGCTATGGTGATATTGGATGGACGTCTAGTGGCGCCCCGTACAACATGGAGGGTGTGGGGGGAACTAGGTTTCTTGTTCAACAAAACTACCATCTTATTGATCAACAATGTGCCACATATGCCTAATGAAATGTACCATAACATGTTATGGATGGGGGCCATACGAGGGATGACCAATTTTGAAACTAGTGTGATCCCTTCACAAGATTCGAACAAATTGACATGTGGAGCAGGTGTATTTTTCTTTGTGGGTGGGTCTTGCACATGTACATAAAATTACAGTACATGAGAAATGCTTTGCAAAGAAGTGTGACTAATACATAACACGAACTAGCCCTTCGTGGAAAAACATTATCAACATGGGCTTTCCCCACCTTCTAGGCCTTGTTCGGGAGAACAAGAGGAAGAGGAGTACCAGATCCAGAGGATGAATAGTACTAGGCTCGAAAGCCCAAAAATCGCGTGCGACCCCCATGCGACCAATTTCGTGACCAAACCTCGAGGTTTGGAAACATCAACCTCTTCTTCTCCTCTGCAGCGGCTCGAGATTCCGAGCCGCTACCCCTACAGTCCATTGATTGAACAGTAATCACAGGCAAAAGTGTCCTCACTTTCTCCTCTCCATTCTCTGGCGAGGAGAAAGTGAGGATCAGAGGTCTTGAAAATTTGTTGGGCATCTGGGTTTCTACTTCATGTTTACCCAGGGCGGACATGTACGGACATGACCATTCGAGAAAGCCCTAACACATTCCCTTTGAGTTGTATTGTTTTGTGGTTCATTTTCGTGTTGCAAGGGTGGTTAAGTTTTGGAAACTATGGTTTGGGATGGAGAGGAAATGGGAAGTTGAGAGAGCACCAGAGATGGTAGCTGCGATTTGGCATCTTGACCCCGGGCGTGCGGTTGTCGTTTTTTCTCAAATTGGGGCGTTGACTAAGCACACCCCTGTCATTTTCTCCAGCTGGCGAATCTGATTGTCTAGCTGTCGACACAGAACCAGAGGGGCTCCCTTTGTTCGGGAACCAGAGGGGCTCCCGAACAAGGCCCTAAACAAATACAGGCTCAGTGCATCCCTGCCGTACAGAACCTCCATCCCTCGGCTCAGAGCTGTTCCCAGTTGCTTCCGGGCAACGGCAGCAATTTCAAAACCGCTAGACGACGGATGGGGGCTGCCAAAGTGCAGCCCTTGCCTGTCGCGACATACGGAAATTGCGGTGGCTGGCTGGGATGAGATCATGGGAAGTGGGAAAAGTGCTAACGGGCTGACCGTAAAGACACAAACATGCCACAGACCTAGAATCTGAGATTGATCTGTTGGTGGACAAGGGGACACGAAACACATGTTGACGCTATCCACGTGGTGTCCTTCAACACCGGCCAATTTTAATGGTTTTGCAGTGTACCCACGCCAAGAAGTTCTCTGAACGCGCGCGATCAGTTGGATTCACTGCCAATTTCGCAAGAGAATCTGCTTCTATGTTCCCACTGGTCGTGTTGTGGGATCAAGGACTCTCAGGTGGGCTCCGGCCACTACTGCATTCCGAAGCACATCTGACGCAAAAATCCAGTTGGCCAGTCTGAATTCATGGACTGGCTGTACAAACGCTATACCCTCATAATGTGATATATGGCCCCTCTTGTTCCTCGTTGTTATCGTGCTTGCCTGCCCGCTCACGAAAATCCCAAGGCTCTCCTCCTGCTTGCTCGGTGTTCCGTTTGCCACCTCTCCTTTGACAGACCCACCTTTCACATTCCACCAACTCCGTCAACCTGACTCACACTCGCTCGCTCTCACCACTTCCACCAGCCAGAACAGACTCCAGAAGATTCTTGGATTTACAATTTGAGCCCTCCTGTACAGTTTGTCCATGACTCCATGCGAGTGAATCTTTTCTAGGGTTTCCATTCCCCAGCCAGCAGCAGGCTTAGTACTTGCCGCTCCTCTAGCGTTGTAAAGAACAGATTCTTCTAGCTCTTGTTCAAATCGCCTCGAAAGAGTCGTTTCTTTTTTCTGCTCTGCAGTTATTATTTTTCCCGCTCTATCGCATCTAATAGGGCCGCCATGGATGTGCAACTGACCGAAGGTTCATCGGGATTTCCGAGCAACGTTCCGTCAGTAATGATGGCTCGCGGAGCTGGTGTAGGCGGTAGCGGCGGGACGCCCGCCGAAAGTAGTCAGGCAAAGCTCGAGCCTATCGAAGGAGGGGAATTACATGACGTGGATAATCTAGGGATGGATGCTAATACGAGCTTTAGAAGAAATATGGGTATGGTAGCTTTGGGTGGCCATCCATTACAAGCACTCGCTCCGCAAGGCGGTCCGGGTGGCGGAAGCATGGCGGCTCCGCACGGGCAGGGTCAGATGGACAAAGATTTTCTCTGCCCGATTTGTATGGAGCCGATGCGCGACGCGTTTTTAACGGCGTGCGGACATAGTTTCTGCTACTCGTGCATCACCACGCATCTGCATCACAAGCGGAACTGCCCGTGCTGTTCGCAATTCCTCACTCTCGACCAGATTTTCCCCAATTTCACGCTTAACAAGGTAAATTTCTAGCCTCACACTTAACTAAGCATCTCCTGAGCATTTCCAGGCGTAGTAATTCTTGCACCCTCGGAGCTCCTCACCCGTGCCTCCCGCTTCCCCCGTCCAGCTCTGGAAGAAATCCACCGTGACGCAGATGTCTCTTTTCGAGAAGTCCCTAAACTCGCCCGTGTCCCCCGCCGTGATCCCCGCTCCGCTCCCTCCACTCCCTCCACTCCCTCCGCCTGTGCAGCTTCTAAAGAAAGCCACGGCGACGCAGATGGTCTCGACCGCGTCGCCGTCGCAGCACCTGCGGCTGGCGCTGCAGCACGGCGCGGACGTGAGCATGAGCGTGCGCGAGCTGGACGCGCTGCTTGCGCTGCTGGCGGAGAAGCGGCGCAAGGCGGAGCAGGAGGAGGCGGAGATGAACATGGATATCCTCCTGGATTTCTTACAGCGCTCGCGGCAGAAGAAACAGGCGGAATTGGACGAGGTTGGTACTGTACCGAGTCTTACCGAGTCTGTCTATGACGGGGCAGGAGGAGGCGGAGATGAACATGGATATTCTGCTCGACTTTCTACAGCGGTCGCGGCAGAAAAAACAAGCGGAATTGGACGAGGTTGGTACGGTATCGAGTCTGTTTATGAGCGGAGCAGTTCCTATCGTGCCTCCACTTCCCTGCCCCCTTCCCCTATTTACCGGACCTCCGCTTTTCCGGCGGAGAAGCACCGCAGGGGCGCGCAGCAGCACATGTGCGAGCTGTCCGCTTATCCCTTCCTTCCCCCTTGTGCCTCCCCCGTTCTCCCCCCGTTTTGTCCCCGTTCTTCCCCCGTTCTTTCCCGTCCTTCCCCCGTTTCTTCCCCAGCTCCGCGCGGACCTCCTTTTCATCCGCGAGGACATAGCGGCGGTGGAGCAGCGGCGGCGCTCGCTGCAGCAGATGCGCGAGCAGTCCGCCGCCGCCATCCACGCGCTGCTCTTCCGCGGAGGCGCTTCTTCCGCGGGCGCGGGGGACGAGACGGGGTTCGGATCTGGGGGATTGGCGGGGCTGAAAGCGGGCGCGGGGGAGGGTTAGCGGGGAGCAAGCGGAGGGGGGGACCCGCACTCGCGCACCACCTGCAGCAGACCGCGCAGAAGATGCGCATTCAGGGGGATAGGCGGGGGATAGGCGGAGGGGGAGTGGGGGCGGTGAAGGAGGAGGCGGAAGGGGAGGGGGGAGGGGAAGGAGGAGGGCTGATTGCGTGTGGGCCGTCGGATATTGCCATGTCCGCATCAACGGTTGCCAAGAAGCGACGAGTTTTTTCCCATGTATGTTGGTTGGAAGTTCCATCTTGAAACAGGCTGTGAAGAGACCATCCAACGGTTGAGAGAGGTCGTTGTGCATCTGATCTGATGCAATACGTCAAGAGAAGCCACTCTGCTCGACTTCTTCCCTCGTTGTCCTTATCTTCCCTCGCCCGGCCCGGCCCTTGCCCCATCTCCCACTCCCCTCTCCCTTGTCTCCAGTTCGACGACCTGCAGGAGTGCTACCTGCACCACCGCCGCCAGGCAGCGCACTCACTCAGACCTCGCATTCAGTTCCCTTGCTCACCCCTTTCCCCTCATCTTACCTCTCCGGCCGCCCTCGCCCCCCTCCCTTCTCCTCCCTTGTCTCCAGTTCGACGACCTGCACGAGTGCTACCTGCACCACCGCCGCCAGGCAGCCCGCTCTGCTCCCTCGCTCACCCTTCTGTACTCATCCCCACCGCTCCCCACCCCTCACCTCCTTCTCCAGTTCGACGACCTGCAGGAGTGCTACCTGCACCACCGCCGCCAGGCAGCGCACGCCGCCAAGCCCGCGGGAGGAGCAGCAGGAGGAGCATCAGCAGCAGCCGAGGCGGGCAGGCGCGGTAACGGCTCAGCAGCAGCAGCAGCAGCGGAGGGAGGGGCGGTGGGGCAGGTGGATCTGGGCATGGGCCTGGAGGATTTCCGGCAGGTGCTGGCGGCGTTCACGCGGTTCAGACGTGTGAAGGTGGTGGCGGAGCTCAGGCAGGGGGACCTCTTTCATTCCTCCAATATTGTCAGCAGCATCGAATTCGACCGCGATGACGAGTTCTTTGCGACTGCGGGCGTGTCCAGACGAATCAAAGTCTTCAACTTCTCGCAGGTGGGTCACGGATGGTGGGCTGTTTCGTTTCCCCCAGGCTAGTAGCAGGTGTGTACATGAAGGTCCCTCGTTTACGCGGTTCAGCCGAGTGAAGGTGGTGGCGGAGTTGAGGCAGGGAGACCTCTTCCATTCTTCCAATATCGTTTCCAGCGTCGAGTTCGACCGGGATGATGAGTTCTTTGCCACGGCGGGCGTGTCGAGGCGAATCAAAGTGTTCAACTTCTCGCAGGTCAGTAGGGTGGGCTGTTTCCCCCAGGTCAGTGGCCGCGGTTCTTAGTCGTTCACGCGCTTCAGCCGAGTGAAGGTGGTGGCGAAGCTGCGACAGGGCGACCTGTTCCATTCTTCGAATATCGTTTCCAGTATTGAGTTCGACCGGGATGATGAGTTCTTTGCCACGGCGGGCGTGTCGAGGCGAATCAAAGTGTTCAACTTCTCGCAGGTCAGTAGGGTGGGGGTGGGTCGTTCAGCGTTCCCGGTTGAGCCGTGTGAAGGTGGTGGCGGAGTTGCGACAGGGCGACCTCTTCCATTCCTCCAATATCGTTTCAAGTATCGAGTTCGACCGGGATGATGAGTTCTTTGCTACTGCAGGCGTGTCGAGGCGAATCAAAGTGTTCAACTTCTCGCAGGTCAGAGGGCTGGGCGGGGGTGGGTCGTTCAGCCTTCACGCGGTTCAGCCGTGTGAAGACGTGCACTGCCCGGTCGTCTCCCCTCACTCCTCAGGTGGTGGGCGAGCTAGCAGACGTGCACTGCCCAGTCGTGAAGATGCCCACTCGATCCAAGCTGAGCTGCCTGTCGTGGAACCCCTACCTCAAGGCGCACATCGCCCCATTGCCACTCCATCCCCCCGCTCCCTCTCTCCCTCACTGCCCATCAGGTGGTGGGCGAGCTAGCAGACGTGCACTGCCCGGTGGTGGAAATGCCCACCAGATCTAAGCTCAGCTGTCTGTCGTGGAACCCCTACCTCAAGGCGCACATCGCCAGCAGCGAATACGAGGGCATTGTGACCGCGTGGGACGTGGGAGCATCAAGTGTTAACCCTAGTCAAACTCGACTCATTGATTCCCCTCTTCCTCCTCGCCCGACCATTCAGGTGGTGGGCGAGCTAGCAGACGTGCACTGTCCAGTGGTGGAGATGCCCACGCGCTCGAAGCTCAGCTGCCTGTCGTGCAACCCCTACCTCAACGCGCACATCGCCAGCAGGGCCCAATTCCTACTCCCTCGTCTCTCTTTTCCCGCGTGACAGGTCGTGGGAGAGTTGGCAGATGTTCACTGCCCGGTTGTTGAAATGCCCACCAGATCTAAGCTGAGCTGCTTGTCGTGGAACCCCTACCTCAAGGCGCACATCGCCCCATTGCCAACCCCCCCTCTTCCCTCCGCCTCCCTCCACCCCTCCCCGCGTGACAGGTCGTGGGAGAGTTGGCGGATGTTCACTGTCCTGTAGTGGAGATGCCCACTCGATCAAAGCTCAGCTGCCTGTCGTGGAACCCCTACCTCAAGTCAAGGCGCACATCGCCCCATTCCCATTGCCCCACTCACCTGTTTCCCTACTTCAGGTGGTGGGAGAGCTAGCAGACGTGCACTGCCCAGTCGTGGAGATGCCAACGCGATCCAAGCTGAGCTGCCTGTCGTGGAACCCCTACCTCAAGGCGCACATCGCCTCAATCCCACTCCCTCCTCTTTCTTTCCCCCCTCCCTCAGGTGGTGGGCGAGCTAGCAGACGTGCACTGTCCGGTGGTCGAGATGCCAACCAGATCCAAGCTGAGCTGTCTCTCCTGGAACCCCTACCTCAAGGCGCACATCGCGAGCAGCGACTACGAGGGCATTGTGACGGTGTGGGACGTGGGCACGGGGCAGAGCCTACTGGAGTACGAGGAGCACGAGAAACGCGCCTGGTCGGTGGACTTTGCACGGACGGAACCGACCAGATTGGTGTCTGGGAGCGACGATGGGAAGGTGAGCGAGCGATGGTGTGCGTGTTTGTGTGGCTTTTGCTGAGTCGCCGTGTGGGACGTGGGCACGGGGCAGAGCCTACTGGAGTACGAAGAGCATGAGAAGTGCTCCTGGTCGGTGGACTTTGCACGCACGGAACCGACCAGATTGGTGTCTGGAAGCGATGATGGGAAGGTAAGAGGTTGGGGGACTGCAAGGGCATTGTGACCGTGTGGGACGTGGGCACGGGGCAGAGTTCACTGGAATATGAGGAGCACGAGAAAAGCGCTTGATTGGTGTACTTCACACGTATTGAACCCACGAGACTTGTGTGTGTGAGTGAGCGACGGCGTGTGTGCATGTGTATGTGTGTGTGCGCGCGTGGGCAAGAAGTGCAACCACGAAGATACGGTTGACCTCGCGACTTACCTCCGCCCAAATTAGAACGTCAAGAGAGTCTGGCGCTGCCAAATCTGTTATGAGCAGCTGCTGTGGTCCGAACTGCTCGTGGATGGATTTAGTGAGTACGTATGTTGGAGCGAGTATCACATGTGAGCACGCTGCGCCACACTTCACTAGCGCAGCGTGCTCTCATATGATACTCGCTCACGTATGTACTCACTGAGTCCATTCACGAACAGTTCGGACCACAGCAGCTGCTCATGCACCTGAAGTGGAATTCGGCGTCTAGGAGTGACGATGGAAAGGCGTGCGTGAGTGAGTGACGATGTATGTGCATGTGTGTGTGTGTGCGTGCGTGCGTGCGTGCGTGCGTGCGTTCGTGGCTGTAATCCGTGTGACTGAGTGTGCTGAACATCGACATGAAGGCCAACATCTTCTCTTCCGCTATCCCCCTTCCCCCCTTCCTTCCCTCTCACCCCCCCTCCGCCCCCTTTTTTTTTGTCATCACAGGTGAAGATCTGGTGCACGCGGCAGGAGAGAAGTGCGCTCAACATTGACATGAAGGCCAACATCTGCTCTCCTCTTCCTCCCCCCCACCCTTCCTCCTCTTGTTATTCCTGTCCCTCGTGTACAGGTGAAGATCTGGTGCACGCGGCAGGAGAGAAGTGCGCTCAACATTGACATGAAGGCCAACATCTGCTCTCCTCTTCCTCCCCCCCACCCTTCCTCCTCTTGTTATTCCTGTCCCTCGTGTACAGGTGAAGATCTGGTGCACGCGGCAGGAGAGAAGTGCGCTCAACATTGACATGAAGGCCAACATCTGCTCTCCTCTTCCTCCCCCCCACCCTTCCTCCTCTTGTTATTCCTGTCCCTCGTGTACAGGTGAAGATCTGGTGCACGCGGCAGGAGAGAAGTGCGCTCAACATTGACATGAAGGCCAACATCTGCTCTCCTCTTCCTCCCCCCCACCCTTCCTCCTCTTGTTATTCCTGTCCCTCGTGTACAGGTGAAGATCTGGTGCACGCGGCAGGAGAGAAGTGCGCTCAACATTGACATGAAGGCCAACATCTGCTCTCCTCTTCCTCCCCCCCACCCTTCCTCCTCTTGTTATTCCTGTCCCTCGTGTACAGGTGAAGATCTGGTGCACGCGGCAGGAGAGAAGTGCGCTCAACAATGACATGAAGGCCAACATCTGCTCTCCTCTTCCTCCCCCCCACCCTTCCTCCTCTTGTTATTCCTGTCCCTCGTCTACAGGTGAAGATCTGGTGCACGCGGCAGGAGAGCAGTGCGCTCAACATTGACATGAAGGCTTATCTCGGTCCTGCTCCCCTCCTCTTCCCTGCCCTGCCCATACTGGTGCTCTCTCACAGGTGAAGATCTGGTGCACGCGGCAGGAGAGCAGTGTTCTCAACATTGACATGAAGGCCAACATCTGCTGTGTCAAGTTCAACCCGGGCTCCGCCAACTTCATTGCAGTGAGTCTACAATTGTTCTCCTTATAAGCTTCTTCACAATCACTACTACAGTATCAGAGCGCCAGCGCAGCCTCTCCACGTGCTGAGCTTCCCTGTGACTATCCTCTCCCTTGGCTATGCTCTCCCTGCATGTGCTAACCACAGGTGGGTTCAGCGGACCATCACATCCACTACTACGACATCAGAGCGCCAGCGCTACCTCTCCACGTGTTCACCCCTTTGCTTTCCCCTGTGTTTAACCTTAATGCGCCTCTATTTCAGGTGGGATCAGCAGACCATCACATTCACTACTACGACATCAGAGCGCCAGCCCTCCCCCTCCACGTGTTCAGCGGTCACCGCAAGGCCGTGAGCTACGTCAAGTTCCTCTCGCCCTCGCAGCTCGCCTCCGCCTCCACGGACAGCACTCTCCGATTATGGGACGTCCATTCGCATGCTGCGGTGAGTTGCCTTACCCCACTCTAATGCTAACTCAACTCTCTTCTTCTCTCTGTGGCGATCGCAAGGCTGTGAGCTACGTCAAGTTCCTCTCGCCCTCGCAGCTCGCCTCCGCCTCCACCGACAGCACGCTTCGACTATGGGACGTGCACTCGCACGCTGCTGTAAGTTGCCCTCTCGAATGCCCCCTTTATCTCTGTGGTTCCCCACAAGGCCGTGAGCTTTTAAGGTCCTCTCGCCCTCGCAGCTCGCCTCTGCCTCCACCAACAGCACTCTCCGATTATGGGACGTGCACTCCCACGCTGCGGTGAGTTGCCCCCTCCTTCCCTCTTCTTCTTGTGTTCATTTTCAAGGCCAAGAGGTACCTCAAGGGAAGTTCCTGTCACCCTCGCAGCTCGCCTCTGCCTCCACCGACAGCACTCTCCGATTATGGGACGTCCATTCACATGCTGCGGTGAGTGCTCTAACACTCTTCCCTACCCTTTCCTGTCTTGTGTATCCACTCGCACTCATTCTCCCTCTTTGCCATCGCAAGGCCGTGAGCTGCTTGAAGTTCCGCTCGTCCTCGCAGCTCGCCTCTGCCTCCACCGACAGCACGCTGAGGCTCTGGGACGTGCACTCGCATGCAGCTGTAAGTTGCCCTCTCGAATGCCCCCTTTATCTCTGTGGTTCCCCACAAGGCCGTGAGCTATGTAGCTATCTCTGTGGTTCCCCACAAGACCAACAGCACGCTGAGGCTCTGTGGCAACTTGTGCACTCACCACAAGTTGCCCGTTTCTCCGACTATGGGACGTGCACTCGCATGCAGCTGTAAGTTGCCCCCTCCTTCCCTCCTTCCTGCTGAGGCTCTGGGACGTGCACTCGCATGCAGCTGTAAGTTGCACTTGAAGTCCCTTCTGTCTACGTCTCTCTCTTTGGGTCCCTTCAAGGCCGTGAGCTACGTCAAGTTCCTCTCGTCCTCTCAGCTCGCCTCTGCCTCCACCGACAGCACTCTGAGGCTCTGGGACGTGCACTCGCACGCTGCGGTGAGTTGCCCGCTCTTGCCCTCTTCCCCATTTCCTCTTTCGCAAGGCCAAGAGCTGCCTGAAGGGAAGTTCCTCTCGACCTCACAGCTTGCCTCTGCTTCTACGGACAGCACACTGAGGCTATGGGACGTGCACTCCTATGCTGCGGTGAGTTGCGCTCTCAGATTCTCTTCTTCTCCCATTGGGTCCCTCCAAGGCTTTGACCTACGTCAGGTTCCTCTCACCCTCATCTGCAGTCTTGCCTCCACCGACAGCACGCTGAGGCTATGGAACTCCTATGCTGCGGTGAGTTGCGCTCTCGGACTCTCTTTCTCTTACCCCCATCTGTCGTGTGGATTATCTTTCACACGCTCTCTCTCCATGGCTCGGCAAGGCGTTTAGCAGTTGTTGAGGAGGCACCTTCCCGCACTCCCTTCCTCCCTCTCGCCTTCTCAAATCTGCACGTTGAGGGGCCACATTAACGAGAAGAGGTTCGCGGTCAAGTTGGTCACTGCTTGAAGTGTTTCAGTCTGTATTATATCTTCCGCTTACCTTCCCTTATCCTCCCGCGCTCCCTCCCTCCCTCTCCCCTTTTCAGATTCGCACGTTGAGGGGCCACACCAACGAGAAGAATTTTGTGGGCCTGTCGGTCAACAGTGACTACATCGCATGCGGCTCCGAGACGAATGAAGTGTACATCTACTACAAGGTACGAATGAGGTTTTATGCCCGTCAACAGTCACTAGACTATATCGCATGCGGCTCGGAAACAAATGAAGTGTACATATACGTACTACAAGGTATGCATGAAAGGCATTGTCTATCAACAGTCACTAGTCTAAATTGCGTGCGGCTCTGAAACAAATGTGGAAGTGTACACTACAAGGCATCAATGAGAGGCCTTATGAGGCGATGCTAAGTGCTTTTCTGCTTTAGGTGTTCAGGCACATAGTACGCTTAACCTCGCCTGCTGTCCTCCCAACTCCTACTCCTTAACCCTTCGTGTTTGTTTCCCTTATCCCTCTTGCAGGCCATGTCTAAACCCATGGCAGTACACTGATTCACCAACTCTGACCCTTTTAACGGGGAAGACAGTGATGAGGATACAGCACACTTCATCTCTGCAGTGTGCTGGAAGGGCGGAGGGGGAGAGGGAGGCGGAGCAGGGGCAGGTGGGGAAGGGGGTGGGGGGCAGCAGCAGGAGGCAACAATGCTAGCAGCAAACAGTCAAGGAACTATCAAGGTGCTCTCTCTGGCGCCATAAAAAGGGCGGGATTATTCTAGAGGGGCTGGAGTACGTAGTTGGTGTGATACTAATGCACCGCGCATGTATGCTAAAGCTAAGTGCTCGCTGCCTATGTTGGAGTTAAGGGATTTTGATGTAGTGCATACTGCACAAATTTAATACAAGCGTTGTCCACTCGTAGATAGGTTATGCGGATCGCTTTTGCACCAATTTGGAATCTAACGGTGTAAAAAATATTGCTGATTGAAAGACATAATTTACTCGTGATGAGCATCCGTTTATACATGATAAATCAAAAGGTAAACGAATTATTTAAGCGTCTACGATTTCGGTGCATGGACCGATTCCCACCGATGCTGTCGAAGCTTTTTGGTCTCTTCGTGCCTATTTACCAACAGCACTTTGAGCTTCTTGACCAATCCATCCGCGTTTTTAGCCTCCTCCTTTGCCGCACTAAACTCCCGCTCTGCGTGTGCAGCTCTCCTTTCCAACCCTTCTAGCACGGCTTTATTCTGCTCTGCCAATTGCATCGTTTCTTTCCGATAGGACACGGCCTGCCGCCAATGATCCCCCCTCAACGAAACCTTTTCAGCTGCCCGTCGCGATTTTCGAATCATTTCCGCAAGCACCCGTGCGCCTTCTTCGCTGACCGCGGTCGCGAGATCCAACGCCTGCTGCGCTTCCTCCGACTCCCGCACGTACGCGCGCTTGCGCGCAACCTCCCGCTCCGCCGCCACTTCTTCCGCCACCTTCCGCTGCTCCACTAGCAGCTCCGCAATCTGCGCTGCTCGCTCTTTAGCTTGACGCACGTCTTTCTCCGCCTCTCTCGCCTGGAAATCCGCTTCTTCCGCCTCTCCCTCGACATTCTCCTGCTCCTGCCTCTTTTCCCGAGCCTCTTTCTTCGCCTCGAAGGCTCGGATCCGAGCCTCTTCAGCTGCAACTTTCGCAGCCTCGGAAACGGTAACAGCTTCCTTTTGCAACGCCCTTGTGACGAATTCCTCCGCTTCCGACGCGGAAATACGCTGAAGCGCAACTGCGACGCCGGCAGCTGGGCCGCCTTCAATTCCCGAACCTGTCGAATTATCCGCCAGGTTCGGTGAATCCGGACCTCCGTCTGAGTTGGTCAACAAAAGTGTTGTCAAATCCGCGATTGTAATCCGCGACCTGATTCTCCTCCACACGCTAACGAATTCTGCCGCTGCCTCGTCAGCCTGAGCTTCGGCTTTTCGAACCGATGCCACGTGTTTGTCAACCAAAGGTTTCAGATTGTTGTGATAGGCTATCGTGAGCCTCAAAGCCTCCGCGCGCATCTCAGCCTTCTTGGCGATCCTCTCCGCTTTCTTCGCCGTTGTACCCGCTATGTGCAGACTCACTTTTTTCGCCGCAACCGCAACCTCGAACGCGGTTACAGCGTCGGGGCTTGGATTTTCAAACGCGCGTTTCGTCGCCGCGGCAGCAGCCGCCGCCATTTCCTCCGCGACCGCTTGCTGCTCACGGGCTCGCGCCGCGAAGAGCTCGGCGCGCTTCTTGGCGAGTTGAATCTTCTCGTGCACCCCGTCCACCTTGCGGTCCGCGTCTCGCAGGTTCCTCTCCATGGCCTCCAGGTCGCGGCGCGCCACGTACGCGAGCTGCTTTGCCGCCACCGCCGCTGCTTTTAATTGGCGGAGCAAGGCCACGGGATCCGCGTTCCCTGCTGGTATCTTGAAACTGGTGATGACGTGGTGCGGAATTGTAATTATCGATTCTGTCGCGGCTTGAATTGAGCCAGCTCGGTCGGCGGCAGGAGAAGACTCTGTGGCCTCGCTAATAGCAGAAGTCGGTATCGGTACAGGAGTAGCGCCGCTCACGAGTGTTACCAAGCTTAATGTGATGGAGAGTGAGAGAATAGTGGCGAGCGTCAAGCAGTCAGGCGAGGGAGGATTGTAATGAGCTTGCCTCACCGCCATGGCTTTCGTTTCCCGATCGAGCGTCGAGAAACCTGACAATCCTTGTTTCAGATCTGAACGACGCACGTGAACGAGTTAGAACTTCGGTATGTCGCGTTGCAATCACAGCTCTTGGTCACCGCGAGTCAAGGCATGCGAATGTCAGTGAATGAGGTTCTACTGGCGAAGCATATCACAGGGCCAGACCGTGGTTCTGAAAATTAGTTGTTATCTAGTCTGCTTTACCAACCAACCCGTCCACAACGACGAACCACTTGGACATATTGCACGTGCACCGTACATTTCACCTCCGCTTATACACCATTCCGTACAATGGTGGCGTGGCGACGCGCCATACATGAGGAAGGTGATGCTGTGAGGTGTGGCGGCGGGAAGTATTCACAGCGATGGGCCTGTTCGGGACAGGACTCTCCGACCGACGTGGCGCGAGTATGGCTGGGTGGGATCGACAAGGTGGGAGTTGAACGGCCCAGATAAGCCTGGAGGAAGACAATCGACGCCAAAGCTTCGAAAGCCCCACAACTCCAGCTCAACTCAGACCTGTAACGCGTACGGCCTCGATGCTTGTTGGTGGCACAGGCGGCCATATGGCGGAGTGTGGTACCAGCCAGCACGTTCGCGAATGCGACCACGGTGTTACTACAAGGTGAAAGACTTCTATCTTGATTCTCTATTAACTTACAGAAAACAATTCAAAAGTAGTAGGCTATGGTGTACTTCCAACTTAAAAAAAAAAGGCTAGGCTTTTTTTCATGCGTTCCCAGTCCAACAAATCAACGTAACATCTTCGTCCGATATTGTACATTGTTACGCCTAAACCCTGCACCAATGGTCTGTCCTCGTTTTGCAGACTTCGGGCCACCCACCCACACAAAGACAGATGTCATTCATGGCCCCCAGATAGCTGGGGCAGCAAAACTGCTGAGTACACCAATACGGTAGTGGTGTAGGGGTGGTGGACCTGGATGTGCAGGTTCTACCTTAGGTACCCTCATACCTATTCCACAATTCGTTGGGACTTACTACACTATGGACATGCTGGTGTCATGGTGGCCCTATCAGGTGCACCAACGGGACTTCAATGTGTGGGTGAGCTCTTCAGGCTTTCTCAGCATCGCCCCAGGTGGTCTCTAGGGAAGTCCTCAAAGCCTTGTGTGATGAAAGTAGGCATGATCCAAGAGATGCTGTATAACCTAGCCAAATCACATACGGTATCACAGGAAATTGATTCAACATACAATACACTTCCCCATAGCCTTGCATTGCACACATCTGCGAGCGAGCTTCCTTCACAAACAACATGATTCCCCTCAGTTGGTGCAAATCTTGACATTTTCATCACAAGGTACTCTGTCTGAATTGATAAGAATCCTGTGGAATATTGAGTGACCTAGGCAGCAGATTAACAAAATGTCGACTACAGAAGCACCACAAAACCCTTTATTGGGGACGGCTGATTAGAATACCACATCCCAGCCACTGCGTCACCTTCACCCACACATCAATTACCTTCAGCCAAACATCAATACATCCTGAACCAATATGACCCACAGAGTGCTCTACCCTGCCAAGGTGCGGCAGCGGCCGCTTTATTTGCAGGATTAGACAGCCCACTCACTGCAAGTTACACCGAAAGCTACGGAATCCGAATCCGGCGCTGATGGGAAGGGAGACTCCCAAACGCAGCAACAGCATCCATTGCACCATGTGGCTGTATTCGGTCTGAACCCACATTGCACAATTCAGTCTACCATGTTGGTTTTAAGCAGCTGCTACAACAACCAGTGGAGCACCATCGTGACGCTCTGCTTCTTGTACCATCGACTCTCTGAGCCTCTCCTCCTCTAGTACCACCGCTTGCCACGCAGATTGCGCATCCGCCGCCCTCTCCATCTTCTCAATCATCTCCGCCCGGAGCGCCTTCACCCGCACTGCCGCCATTCCGGCCTCCCGCGCCGCCATCACGAACGTGCCCTCGAAGTCCCGCACGTTCGCCTCCATCTCCTGCAGGTACGGACGGTTCCCGCGCGCCTCGGCGCGCGCGGCGGAAAGCTTCCGCGCTACCTGATACTTCCGCTGCGCGGCTCTGTCAACCGCGCTGGCGGCGCCTGCCGACGCGTTTGCGCTGCGCTCCTGCCGCGCTTCTTTGAGCGAATTTTCAGCGGATTGGAGCTCCGCTTCCGCCGCCGCGACTGCCGCGTCCAGCTCCGCCTGCTCGCGCGCCTCGTCGCGCTGCTGCTGCCGCGCCTCAAGCGCCCGGATGCGCATCTCCTCCTGCTCGATCTTCTGCGACGCGAGGGCGCGCTTCGCCTCCTCGTACGCCGCTAGCGCCTCCGCCGCCTCCGCATCCGCTGCAGAAACTCTCTTCGCCGCCTGAACCTCCGCGTTTTCCGCACCAGGCGACCCCGAGCTGTAGCTATCATCTGAATCTGACGATGCATGCCCGAAGCCGTCTGGAGAGTCTGGTGTGCTGCTATGCTGAACGGCTCCTCCGCGTAGGTTCTTGTCGCGGGCAATGGCGTACGACTGAGTGGTTGCGGCGGTGGGGGGAAGGAGAAGGGTGAAGGCTGCGGAGAAGATAAGCGCACGGCGCAGGTGACCTAATGACGCCATTCCCGCCCTAATATGCTCGCAGATATGATGGGTGGGCTCGGTCGAGCTACAATAGCAATGATAAAAAATAACGCGGTGGGGTTCTCAACATAAGAATCCAAGTTTCTGTTAGCGTCGAAGCTTATGGAAGAGGCTTTAGCATGGAGCAAGCTCTAGCATGTCAATGCCGTACTCTGCATAGGATACCCTGACGGAGGCTGTTGCGTGTTGGCGCAGCCAGGATGGCGTTTCTTTTTCACTCTCCGCGGTCGAAGCAGCGTGCTTTTCGGGCGCAGAGTAAGGCGGATAAGGAAAACAACTGGCAGGCAGCTGCGTCGGTGTTGGTGGGCTGGTGTGTAAGTCGGTAGCTCGACACTCAATTCCAGAGGGCTTTCTGTGGTGTTGGTGGGAATGTCGAGTCGAGTCTCCCGACACAGGAGGACATAGCTGACATGAGGCGCAACGCGCATGCGAGAATTTGTCAATTTCGCGCGACGCACCTAGGAATTGGCTAGCGGGAGTTCCGCCACTGGTTGAATGTGGAGGAGGGTGGGAAATTTGGTTGATCAAGGAAATTTGGGAAATTTGAATGACTAGTCTCGCTGCGCGTTACTGCGAAAATCCGTTAGCGCATGGAAAGTGCCAACTCCCGTTGTAAGGCTAGATATATTGCAGTCCCGTATTTCAAATGATGTTATGAAATACCTCTGATTAGCTGTAACATGCTAACCCATCTGCTTGTACGGAATAATTGCAAAAGCAAGTTGTGCTAACACACGTGTCAACATCTCACTCCCTCCCCGTCAGCCGCCTCTTTGCTGGAAACACGTAAAACTTTCGCTCACCTCGGTGTATTCCACCTTGAGCGAGAATCGCAGCTTCATCGTCAATGGAAATCACTGTAATACTCGAGGAATTTTAAGTTCGCCAGATTTCGTTGATCTTCGTCGTACCTCTGCTGATACCCATCACCTCGAGCTTGCCTTCTCTCCCAAGCTGGAACTATTTTTCTGTGGATAAGGTTCTCCTACTTTTAGAGCAGCAGCTTTTGGGCCGTGCTATTTTCTGTGACCTAATTTTGATTTGTCTCAGCCATGGCTGCCATCGCCCCGGCCGGGTCATGCACAGTCTCTGCTAGGCTGGTTGCGTCGCAACCTCGCCGCAACACTGTCGTCGTCGCATCGCCCTCCATCTCAGCCTCCGCTCTCGGTCGCAAGTTCGATGGCCTGCGACTCTCCGCGTCCCCCGCTTCCAGCGCCACGTCAGCCGGTCTTACCGACTCTCTGAGCCGCGTAGCTTCAACTAGCACCGGGTGTAGAGGCGTGGTTACCATGGGTATGGAGGCTGGAGTCGGGGTTTTGGGTAACAAGGTCGGCATGCTGACGTGGTTCACTGAGGACGGCAAGGCCGTTCCCTGCACGGTGATTGGCTTCCACGAGGGTAACATTGTTACGCAAGTGAAGACCTCTGACACCGATGGTTACAATGCCGTGCAGGTACGACCCCAAAGGCGATCCAAGTCGGAGAGCGGTGCATTCCAGGGTTTTGGCGACCCTTTTTATTCTCGCGTTGTGTCGAGGAGACTACCCTTAGGCAACCTTAGGGCTCTTGCTTTCATCGTTATGAATCTTTTCTCTTGGGCCTCGGTCATCCATCTGCCTGAAGAGGCGCCTCGAAAGCTAGAAACGGTTACATTCGGAGCTTTTTGCATTTTTTTTATACGACGCTCTATTCGCTCGATTTACTTGGTCGGCGACCTTCTCCTCTCGATTCACACGCGCCGCTAGGTTCAGCTGCTAGGCCTTACGTTTCTTCGACAAGGCTGCAAGTCTCTGAATGGGTGGATCGCTGAGGATAATTTCTGAGTCGTTTCATACATCAAACGCCACGCTTGGTTCGTCCGCTAGCCCGTACGTTTCTTTCACAAAGCGCAAGCGTCTGTAAGGGTGGATCTACGGTCGTCGTTCGAGTCACCTGCAGTGTGATGGGATCCCATAGCCGCCGGAACGAAAGAAACGACTTTTGAGTCGACACAAAAGTCGTTCGAGCCACCTGCAGTGTGATAGGATCACATAGCCGCCGGAACGAAAGATTTGTGAAGGGAAAGCCGCTGCATTACCTGCGGTCATGCGGTCCGTGTTTCGTGAACGAGGTGACTTTTTTAGTCGACTTAGAAGTTACCTGCGGTCATGCGGTCCGTGTTTCGTGAACGAGGTGACTTTTTGAGTCGACTTAGAAGTTACCTGCGGACATGCGGTCCGTGGTTCGTGGTCGAACTCTTAGCGGCTTAGCGGCTTCCTGTATCTCACTGGGATCGTATCCCACTCTTCGCCTGGCACCGCAAGTTCCCCCAGCTACGTCCATCAAGGGTTAGCAAATCCAGTATAGCGAAGTCAATGGGAGGATAGTAAGACTGTCTGGTCCCAACCAATGCCCGCTTGTTTCCCCCACTGCCCCTTCTTTCGCAACCATTCCTCAGCCCTTTCCCGCCTTCCATCCACCCCCTCTCCCTCCTTCCCCCATTCCCTCTCTTTCCCCCACACCCCCCTCCCTTCCCCCCATCCCCTTCCCCCTCCTTCCACCCCGCAGGTGGGCTACTGGCGTGTGCGCGAGGGGAGTCTGTCGAAGCCCGAGGCGGGGCACGCGAAGAAGAGCGGCGCGCCGCCGCTGCGCCACCTGCAGGAGTTCCGCCTGCCCGTCCCCCCGAGCCCCTCCCCCGCCCCCCACCCAGCTCACTTCTCTCCCCCCTTCCCCCCCCCCTCCCTCCCCCTCCCCCGTTTCCTCCCTTTTCCCCTCCCCTCCCTTCCCTTCCCCCCTTCCTCTTCCCCACCTCCCCCGCATTCCCCTGCCATCCCGCAGGTGGGGTACCGGCGTGTGCGCGAGGGGCGTCTGTCGAAGCCCGAGGCGGGGCACGCGAAGAAGAGCGGCGCGCCGCCGCTGCGCCACCTGCAGGAGTTCCGCCTGCCCGCGGAGACCGTGGCGCAGTTCGCGCCGGGGCAGCAGATCAAGGTGGAGGATCTGTTCCAGGCGGGCGACCTGGTCGACATCAAGGGCGTCAGCATCGGGAAAGGATTCGCTGGTGAGTGGCGGGGGTAGCTAGAGGCGAGCAGGGGGGGTAAGGGGTTTCATCGCGGTGCCAGCGCAGACGAGCAGATAAAGGTGGAAGAGCTCTTTCAGGCGGGCGACCTGGTTGATATTAAGGGCGTCAGCATCGGCAAGGGATTCGCGGGTAAGGAGGGGGGATGGTAAGGAGGATCGCAGCGCGGGGTTGGGGCGGACGAGCAGAACAAGGGAGAGGAACTCTTTCAGCGGGGCGACTTGGTGGACATAAGTGGCGTCAGTACTGGTAAGAAATTGGCGTGCGATTAAGGGAGACGAGGAGGGAGCAATAGGTGGTAGGCGACATGGAAGGAGTGTTGGGCCAGTCAATACTCATTGGTAGGGGCGAGCTCTTCCAGGTGGGCCACCTGGTGGGCATCAAGAGCCCACGGCCCCATAACCCACGGGTCCAAGTCCCACCGTCAGCTGGGTTCCATTTGTGCTGGTACCACCCGTTGGCTGTTGTCTTATCTCCCCTCCTTCCCCCCCCCCCCCCCCCCCCCCCCCCCCAACTCCCGCACCCTTACCCACTCCGCCCTCCCTCCCTTGCCCCCCCCTCAAGCCCTCCCCCCTCCTTTCTATGTTCTCATGCCTGATTCCCCCCAGGTGGCATCAAGCGTTGGAACTTTGCCTGTGGCCCCATGACCCATGGTTCCAAGTCCCACCGTCATTGGTGCTGGGCTCCATTGGTGCTGGTACCACCCGTTGCCTGTGATTCTCATCTTCCCTCCTTTCCCCCCTCCTCCACGCTCCTCTCCCCCGCCCTTTCCCCACCACACCCGCCCTCCTCCCCACTGCCCGCCCTCCCTTCCCCCTCCTCCCGGTGTCTTCCCTCGTTTCTATATTGTCACGCCTGTTCTTCCCCCAGGTGGCATCAAGCGTTGGAACTTTGCCCGCGGCCCCATGACCCACGGTTCCAAGTCCCACCGTCAGCTGGGTTCCATTGGTGCTGGTACCACCCCCGGTCGCGTTTACCCCGGAAAGAAAATGCCCGGGCAGATGGGTAACGCCCAGGTGAAAATCCGGAAGCTGAAAATCATGAAGGTTGACCCTGAGCTCCGGGCGGTTATTATTCGGGGGGCTGTGCCCGGGAAGGCTGGAAATTTGCTGCGCATCTGCCCGGCAAAGATTGTCGGGAAGAATGTGCCCACCAAGTGAGAGGGTAAGTGCGGATCATGGTGCGATTGATGCTTGGTTGCGCTGTGAACTCCTGGTGCGACTTGTATCATTGTCCAGAGCATGATGACAAATGAGTAGATTTATAATTGCAGCGTGGAGAAGGCAGTAACCCCATTGGGTAAAGCAGCTCAGTTAGCAACTGAACCGGTAGAGATAATTGCCCACAAAATTCCTTCACTCGTCCAAGAGCAATAATATATTAATTTGAATGCTAGACGAATGATCACGAAACTGTATGCTAGTGGAAAGGCTGCTTTATGGCGAGGCTCCGTTTTTTAACCTGATGGTTCACTCAGCAAGCACCTGCACTGTTACAGGTGGTTTGCCAGCTATGTCGCGTGTGTGGGTGACACTTCAAGCAAGATGACATCCCCACATCATGATTAGGAATTGCTGTCGTGTACATTGCTGTAGTTTCTCCACGTCAGCACTGTACCTAGATTGTTTTCAGCGTTTACGCTGTGTTCCGCCGTTTCCCAAAACTAAAACATCGGAGATTCAATGCAGCATCCCTCCCAAGATTGGCTGGGTACCAGGCGCGCTCTGTACCCATACGTACCTTTCCTATCTGTTTGGAATGAGGGTGCATTCCTACCTCGTGTCAGACACGAAGTGGAGGTTTGGATGGAGGTTCGGAAGACCCGAAGTGGCCCACTTTGGGTCTTCCGAACATTGATTTGCCAGAGTTCCAGGTCACTTCGGGTCTTCCTCAACTTCACTTCGTGTTTGACCTCATGTCAGACACGAGCCAAGAATGCACCCTCAGACTCCAAACAACTTTCTGGGTCAGTTTTAGCAGGGGAAATAGGCGGAACCATATCTGGTGTCCAAGCTTCGGTCTCGGTTTGGTCACAGCGTAGCCCACGTGTCAACTTTGGTGGGTTGGGGGGGGGGTGTTTGCGCGACAAAATCACGCGCGGACCGACGCAGACAGGAACAATCTCAAGCATGTTCCTTCCTGTACTAGGTGTTCACCTCCACCTCACTATGTAGAGAGACTTGTAAAACAGAGTAGCTGTGACTACTGGAGGGCTGGAAACTTGGCTGGAAAGTCTTAGCAGGGCTGCTGGAATTGACTGGATGAGGTAAAACTTCACTATGTTCAAGATTAACAAGCCCACTAAAGCACAACTCTAGGCATCACAAACAAGACAGATTGAAAGCTCAAACTAGGCTGATAGACAATGTAACTTCCCTGGTAACTTGGGCACAATCTAGATTGGATGGACCTTGAGTGACTTTGAGTGCCACATGAGGTGCATGAATAAGAAAACTCTGGATATTTCTGTTATAGCTGATTCTGATGTGTAGAAACCTGTAGAAACTGCCAACACTTCGGTTTGAAGGCAGCTTTGAACTATATCGAGTCTTCGGCTGAAATCTGATTGGTGGTGGAACTTTCGAAGTACTTCCCGAAGCTCTGATTCATCGCCGACATTCCCCCTTGCTGCTGCTTGTGTGCAAAGGGCTGGGGCGGCAGAAACTCGATTCTCCAACACTCCCCCTCGCACCAGACCCGAAGCACACATACACCCATGCTGATGCTCCTTTCACATCTCCTTAGCATACACTTCATGCTGCTGCCCACGTCTCTTCCCCTCACACTCCTCATTCTCCTCAAACTGCTCCACTGCTTCATGAAGTGTCATGAGGCCTGCTCTTGCCTTGCACATGTTGAATGCATCATGTGGAAGAACCTTGGTCATGAAATCTGCTGCTTGATCGAATGAACGACAAAAGTTGACGGCGAGAACTCCCTTCTCTAGTTGCTCACGAATGAAGTGGTACTGCACCTCGATGTGTTTTGTAAGCCCATGATGAACCGGGTTCTTGGAAAGAGCTACGGCTGAAGTGTTGTCCACGTAGAGCGGAGTTGGTTGAGTTTGCGGCTGCCTCAATTCCTCCAAGAGTCCACGTAACCAGATTGCCTCCCTTGCTCCTTCGGTCATTGCCATGTACTCAGCTTCGGTTGTTGAAAGTGCCACACAACTTTGCTTGTGCGATTGCCAAGAAACAGCGGCACCACACATGAGGAAGATGTAGCCGCCGGTAGACTTGCGTGTGCTCAATTCTCCCGCCCAATCTGCATCGGTAAAGCCTTGGAGGGAGCTTGCATATGGGCTGGCTTGGAAGAGAAGACCATGATTAGAAGTACCTTTGAGATACCGAAGAGCTCGCTTGGCTGCATGCATATGAATAGGTGAAGGGGCACTCATGTGTTGAGCTAGCTTAGATACCGTGAATGCTAAGTCGGGCCTTGTGCATAGGGCTGCATACATGAGACACCCAACCTGACTTTGGTACAGAGCTAGGTCTTGTGGGGATACCTTAAGTGAATTCTCACCATGATGCTCACTCTCCTCAAGACACAACTCTTTAATACCTATGACATCAAGGCTTGACTCTCTCTCTTCATAGGGCTGATGTGAAGACAAAGGGACAAATTTGGAAGGAAGTGGGGTAGGTGATGGCTTGCTATCATCAAGACCAAACCTCTCAAGGACCTTTTGGATGTACCTTTGCTGGAATAGGAAGATGGACCGTGACTTACGATCTCTCACAATGTTCATACCAAGATAATGACTCGGCTCACCAAGATCGGTCATCGTGAATGCACTCGTGAGAATACCTTTCACCTTGTTGAGAAGATCAAGAGAACCTGAGACTAGGAGGAGGTCATCGACATATACCAAGAGCCAAATGTACTCCCCCTCACTCGTGTGCATGAAGTACAGAGCGTTGTCTCTCATGGACCTTGTGAAACCATGCTTAAAAAGTACCTGCTCAAGAGCATGATACCAAACCCGTGGGGACTGTTTGAGACCATAAAGGGACTTTACCAAGCGACACACTCGACCCGTACCGTCATCATAACCTTCGGGTTGTGCCATGTATACCTCTTCTTCCAAGACACCGTAGAGAAATGCGTTCTTGACATCCATTTGATGGATATGGAGACCAAGATATGCGGCTATGGCGAGGAGGACTCGTACCGTGGTGTACTTTGCTACCACGGCAAAGATTTCGGTGAAGTCAAGACCTGGAATTTGGGAATAACCTTTTGCCACTAACCTTGCCTTGTACCTATCGAGGCTACCATCACCTTTTACCTTGATCTTGTACACCCATTTGACACCAATTACCTTCTTCCCTGGAGGTGGCTCAACAAGACTCCATGTACCTCGCTTCATGAGACTCTCAATCTCCTCTTCCTCGGCTTTCAACCAATGATCTCTTTCGGGACTTGCCATTGCCTCACGACGACTCAAGGGCTCTCGCGGAAGGTGTGATGCTGCCATGCATATTGCCTCTACCTTCTTGTGAATGCAATTCTCACTCTCCTCACATGTGCACCTTGATGACATGTCAACCATGAAATTGAAGGGCTTTTTTACCTTGCGGACTCGTTTACCTTTACCAAACTCCTCAGTTGGCTGAGACACATTAGTGGTAGGGTTCGGTCTCACAGTGTTTGATTGCGTTGATGCGGTCATTTGCGGCTGAGACAACGGCTGCGACATCGGCTGCGACGGCGGCACGGCTGCTTGTTCTTCTCCTGGCGTGGAAATATCTTGATTATCGGTGTTGACTTGAGGATTAGGTATGGTGACTCGTGGCGGTGAAGCTGAAACGTTTGTCGGCATAGTTGGTTGTGAAGATGCTCTTGGTGGGGATCTTGAGACTAGAAGCTTGGGAATTGATGATGACGCTGCCTTGTCGAGAGGTGGTGATGGTTGGGGCTGGTTGGTGTTGTTGCTCGGTGTTGAAGATGGTGGTAACTGATGACGACCGAATCCGGGACGTGGGGGTGAAGTTGAGAAAGGTCTTGGGTGAAGAAGTGGACTGTTGGAGCTGGTGTTGGTGGTGACTCGCTGAAGTGATCCTCGTGCTATGAGCTGGCTTGACGTTGGAACAAGTGATGAACGTGTGGTATGAGAACGAGGTGTTGCGGTGACGGTTGACTTGTTGCTAGGAAGAGTCGTAGATGGTGTTGATGTAGGTACTTGGGGTCTTGTAGCTGTTGATTGCTGCTGCATGGGATGATGATGAGCTTCTGTAGTTGCCTCTGGAGTGATGGCTGGTGATGGGTTTGATGGCGTAGTGGTGGGCTGATCCGGTTGGCGTTGAAATTGTGAGGTTGGTGTTGATATAGCTGGCTGGTTTGTGACTGTTGGCTGCTGCTCCTTTGATGGTGATGGAACGGTGACTTGCTGCGGTGGATTGTCTTCATTTGATGGCTGAACTTCATCTCCACTTGGTTGAGTAGCTGCTGGTGGCACTGGCGTGGCACGGTTGGACTCGTTGACGACGGCTTGAGGGAGATCGATGATCGGTCCGCTATGGTCAGAATCGGTGTCATCTTCTTCCTCCTCTTGTGTTGTTTCCTCAGGTGCGCTTGCTGGTTCCTGTTGGATAGAGGATAGAGAGGAGGAAGAGGAAAACTTATGCCAACCTGCAAGGGACATGTCTTCATAGAAGACAACATCCCTTGAAACCACTTCTCGCTTGGTGACAGGATCCCAAAGGACCCATCCCTTGCTCTCATTGCTCATGCCGATGAAGAGGCCCCAATGAGCTTTGCTGTCCAGCTTGAGTCTCTTTGCATCTGGAACACGGTATTGGGCCATGGAACCAAAAACACGAAGCATAGACAGATCTGGTTTAACTCCAAACCAAGCCTCATATGGCGTTACACCTTCCGGTAAGGGCCTTGTGGGTCTCCTGTTGCGAACATAAATTGCCATAGTGATTGCCTCACCCCACCAGAGCTTGTCAAGGCCTTTGAACTGAAGGAAAGTGGTAGCTATAGCCTGGATAGTGCGATGAAACCTCTCTGCCACTCCATTTTGCTGAGGACTATAGGGACAAGTGAACTGTTGTTTGATGCCCAATGCCAACAACTCCCCCTGAAACGCTTTCCCCATGTACTCACCTCCTCGATCCGACCTCAAGGTGAGTAACTTCTTCCCTGACTCTCTCTCAACAAGTGCTAGCCATTGCTTGAAACACTTGTGAACTTCATCCTTGGTGTTGATGAAAAAGGACCACGAGAAACGACTCTTGTCATCAATGAAAGACACCAAATATCTCTTACCGTTTCGAGTAGGGTCTCGCATGGGGCCGAAGACATCAGTGTGGACCAACTCTAGGAGGTCCCTTGACTGAGACTTAGAAGGGAAGAATGGCTTTCTAGCTAGTTTACCTTCCACACAAGATGGACATGGAACGGAAGAAAGGGACTTGACTGCACTTTCATTCAAACTCAATCCTTCCACGCTCTTGTGATTTACCAACTCTTTCAATGCTTGCACTCCCACGTGCCCCAAGCGTGCATGCCATACCTCAGCTTGGGAGATACTCCCTTTGTTGTTGACTTGATCGGTTGAAACAGCGGGAAGCGAGACAACGTCGTTCTTCGTGTTGCTAGCACCGCGCTTAATCTCCAACTTCATCTTGTAGAGCCGCCCGGTACGCTCGCCTTCAGCCACCAGATTTCCTGCACTGTCCCACACTTTGGCTTTCCCCCCTTGCAAGAGAACGGAGGCACCTTTCTCTTCGAGTTGTCCGGCTGAGAGCAAGTTTGCTCCCAAATCAGGAACAAACAAAGCTTTATTGACACAAAATGACTTACCATCCTTTTCGAACTCAAGCTTGCCGACTCCTTTGATTGGTACTTTGCCAAGATCAGCAAGAGTCACAGCTTTTGAGTCATATGAGGGCTGAAAATCCTTGAGAATGGACTGATAGGGAGTCATGGTTTCAGAGCAGCCACTATCAAGAATAAACTCCTCACTACTAGTAGAGAAAACATGCATGCAAGTAGCAGCGTTAAAAAGGACAGGACCATCGGACTCTTTGGACTCATCTTGACTTGTAGAATGACTTGCTATATTTGCTATGGCTGCCTTACCTTTTTCAGATAGTAGCTGAGGTGGGGGGACCCAATTAGGAGGCTTTTTAGGACAAGCATACCACGGGTGACCCCACTCATGACAACAAAAACACTCAAAATTAAACTTTTTAGCATTCGGGGCTTGGCTGAAATTATTGACTCTTGGCATATTGACTCTTGCATTCCTAGGCTGGTATTGATTGGGAATCGAAGGCCTTGGCTGGACATAGTGACTGGACTTATAGGGAGGACTTGACTGAGGAAAACGAGAGGGTTTGTATGGGTTGGAAGGTGACTGAAATTTCGTACCGTAGTAGGGTTGAGGGCGGTTTGGGCTGAAATTTCCTTGCCTCTGGAATTGGTTGCCATATCTTGTGGCTGCTGCAGCACTCCACGCACCTTCGTCACTCCGCTTGTTCCGTGCAAGGTCTCGACTCTGCTGCTCGTTGACAAGGGCCTCAAAGATGAACGCACGACTCTTCATTGACTGCGGGAGCGCTTGTAGTGTTGCACGGAAAGTGTCCCACTCCGGTGTAAGGCCGGTGAGGATGACGGTCTTGAAAAGAGACTCTGGAATCTCCAAGCCGATCGCTGCTGCTTCCTCCAGCATTGCTTCAGCTCGTTGTAGGTAGGCTTGTGCTGATTCATCTTCTTCCATCTTCAGATTCATGAAGCGGCTCCACATCTCGGCTTGGCTGCTCTCGGATTTTGACTGGTGCATAGTCTTCAGTCGGCTCCATGCTTCCTCTGCACTGTTTGCCTTGGTAGAACAGGGCAGGAGCGACTTCAACTGCTGCTCGTGAATGCTATTAAGTAGGTAGAGGAAGGCCTCCTTGTTGCGTCGTTCGTAAAGTCGTTTTTCAGCTTCTGAAGCATCTGCTGCTGGTTTGGCTGCTTCTCCAGTGTAGTAAGGCCACAGATCCAGAAGGGATGCAGTGAGCTCAAACTGAGTTGCCCATGTTGGAAAATCTTTGCCGTTGAACTTGGGGAGGTGAAGCTTAGGCATGAAGGAGGTGAGTGGTGAGTATGTTGTTGAAGGACTGCCTGGTGCAACTGCTTCCACTAATCCAGTAGCTGCTGATGTTGACTCTGAAGCTCCTCCGGCTGGCTGGAGTGCAGGACCAGATGGATTGTCTCCCGCCATGTTCGTATGGTGCTAGGATAGGAACGTGGTGGGCTAGGTTGATCGAAACGACAAGCTCTGATACCAACTTGTAAAACAGAGTAGCTGTGACTACTGGAGGGCTGGAAACTTGGCTGGAAAGTCTTAGCAGGGCTGCTGGAATTGACTGGATGAGGTAAAACTTCACTATGTTCAAGATTAACAAGCCCACTAAAGCACAACTCTAGGCATCACAAACAAGACAGATTGAAAGCACAAACTAGGCTGATAGACAATGTAACTTCCCTGGTAACTTGGGCACAATCTAGATTGGATGGACCTTGAGTGACTTTGAGTGCCACATGAGGTGCATGAATAAGGAAACTCTGGATATTTCTGTTATAGCTGATTCTGATGTGTAGAAACCTGTAGAAACTGCCAACACTTCGGTTTGAAGGCAGCTTTGAACTATATCGAGTCTTCGGCTGAAATCTGATTGGTGGTGGAACTTTCGAAGTACTTCCCGAAGCTCTGATTCATCGCCGACATTCCCCCTTGCTGCTGCTTGTGTGCAAAGGGCTGGGGCGGCAGAAACTCGATTCTCCAACAGAGAGCTCCCACATCTATATAGAAAGCTCCGCATTGTTACTTCCCCTTACATTGTTTGAAGCTCCTTGTTTCCCGTTCCGACTTTTCCTAATAGCTGTACTCAACTGACAACACTTTCATCCCTTGGCTATCGCGCTCAATCACCATGGCCAATCGCAACCACCGCCGCGCTCAAGTAGGAAATAGCTTATTCACCGTATGCCTCTGTGTTGGCCTCCTCGTCTGTCCTGGCCACACTTCTGCTTCACGAGACATTGCGGCTCCACAGCAGTTCGCCAGATCTCGTGAGACTCTTGGCGCATCTACACCAGAAATTGTTACTGCTGTCGAAAATCACGAAAACCGCGGCGGTCAGTCCTTGGAATCTGCCGTTCGTGAATCCGCCGCGGCTGACGCGGAAGCCGCCAAAGCTCTAGCGGAATACGAAGATGCGAAGAAGGTTCTCGAAGGAAAGAAGGTGGACGCGGAGGGAATAAGCTCGGAAGCGTCTAAACTGCGCGGCCAGGCGGAAGAATTGGCGTTCGATCACGCCGTCATAGCCACGGAAGTCGCGGAATCAGCGGAGCGTGAGCGGAAAAGCACCGCGGACCTGAAGCGTGCGGAAGAGGTGGCGGAAAAGGCTGGCGCATACGCGGCCGGCAAGCGGAAAGTAGCGGATGAGGCTTCGGCCGCGGCGGGGGAAGCAGCACGGTTGGCGGAAGCGGAAGGGACGGCGGAGGCGCAGCTCGCGCTCGTGCGGGCAGAAACTACGCGCGCGGAGGCGGTCCGAGCTGCGGAGGTTGCGGAAACGCTGGCAGTAGAAGCTAAGGAGTATGCAGAGGAAGTGTGGGAAGCGTTCTCGCATGAAGAATCCGACATGGATGTTTCTATGGTTGACATGGTATCGGAGGAGGCTTATATCGAGGATTTAAGTGCTGCTGCAGCAGACCTCGAGGAGGAACATCGGAAGAGTGTGTCTGCAGTGGATGTCGCTAAAGCGAAGGTGGAGGAGCTGAAGGGTCTGGCAGAGGAGAAGGTGGCGAGTGCGAAGGCGATGCGAGCTGCTCTGAGGAAAGGCGGGAAGAGCAACGGCCGGGAAGGAACGACAGCCACGCAATAGCTTCCGAGCTCCACTCCACATTTCCGTTTGATCCACAGGGCGAAAGTGAGGAGGTGCTGTGGCATGAGCAGTTGTTCCTTCAGAAGCGGAATTAGCGCTCTAGTTTCGTCAATCCCTGAGAAGTGCCAAGAATGCTCGAGCACAGGCGGTTGTTTTTTCTAGACCGACCAGTGTCAAATAATGTATGATAGTGTGGTACTATGTATTGTAATAGCATTATCTCACTCTCATATGGGCTCATGTGATTTTCTGATAAAGTTCGGTTCAGCATTGAAATCGACGGTGTGTGGACTTTAGCACTTGAATAGCTTTGGCTGCAAATACGGTGTGTGGACCCAAATCCTTAGCCCGAGTGCGTAAGTTACAAACGTAGATCTATGATTGTGACTAGCGAAGCTAGTCGTACCGAAGCGATGGCTTCGGCGAACCGCTCGCTGCTGGAGGCGAGGTAATTTGGCGAGAATTACCAGCCAAGCCATGTTTGATTACCCGCCGCTCTGTTACAGGCGCTGTTGTCGAAGTTCCGATCCGACTTTCAGATTTACTGTGTACCTGATGGTTCAGTCAACAGGCACCTGCACTGTTACAGGTGTCTAATCAGCTATGTTGCGACGCGGGTGAGGATGGCTCTTCTTCTAGCAAGATGCATCCTAGGGCTGGGGTGGTTTGGAACGTGGTAGTTTTTCCACGTCAGCACTGCCCCTTGCCTTGTTGGCGGGAGGGTGTCCAGCAGATATGTTCGTTTTCCGCGTTACAATATAGGCTCCATTCGCCATGTCCCAGCACTCACACATTACGTTTCTGGCACACTGGATATCCCGAACTCGCCTGGTATCACAGCCTTGAAACACCGCCCACTTAAGGATTTATGGAAAAGACACCTATCACGTGCGCACGTGAAAAGATGTGCTGAACGAGACTCGAAACAACTGTGAAGTATTGACAGGGGAAATAGGCTCAGCAGTTGTTGGGGGGGCTTGTTGTCAGGAGATTACACAGATAAATAGACAAGACATGTCCCTGTCTGCGCCAGATGTCCCCCTTCACTCGCCAATTTCTACCCTCTAATCACATACACAACTTGCGTAGAGCTGCTTTATGGTTCGTCGTGCATCTCCTTATCAAGCAAATTGACAACATTCTACTTCCTTACCGATCGCGCTCAATCGCCATGGCCAATGGCAATCGTCTACACGCTCAAGTAGAAAATACCTTGTTCACCCTTTGCCTCTGTGTCGGCCTCTTTCTTTCTCCCGACCACACTTTTGGTTTACGCGACATTGGTCATACGGCTGCACAGCAATACACCAGTTCTCGCGAGACTCTTGGCGCGTCTACACCGAATATTGTTGCCGTTGTCGAAAGTAATGGAAACGGGGTTGATCGGTCGTTAGAATCCGTGGTTCGTGAAGCCGCGGTTGCTGACGCAGAAGCCGCCAAAGCTCTAGCGGAATACGAAGATGCGAAGAAGGTTCTCGAAGAGAAGAAGATGGACGCGGAGGGAATAAGCGCGGAAGCGTCTAAACTGCGCGGGCAGGCGGACGAAATGGCGCTCGAACGCGCCCTCATGACCGCGGACGTCGCGGAACTAGCGGAGCGGGCGCAAAAACGCTCCGCGGACCTGAAGCGCGCGTCAGAGGTGGCGGAAGAAGCTGGAGCATTAGCGGCAGGCAAGCGGAAGGTGGCGGATGAAGCTTCCGCCACAGTGGGCGAAGCAGCGCGGTTGGCGGAAGCCGCCCGCACGGCGGGGGCGCAGCTAGCGCTCGAGCGGGCGAAATTCGAGCGCGCAGAAGCGGTGCGCGCAGCGGAGGAGGCGGAAGCGGTGGCGGAAGAAACCACGGAGAACGCGGAGGATGCGTGGGAAGCGTTTTCGCAGGAAGAATTCGATGTGGAAGTTTCCGTAGTGGCCATTGAATCCGAGGAGACTTATATCGAGGATTTGAAAACCGCAGCAGCACGTCTTGAGGAGGAATATCGTAAAAGTGTGACTGCAGTGGAGGTTGCTAAAGCGAAGGTGGCGGAACTGAAGGGTCTGGCAGAGGAGAAGGTGGCGCGTGCGAAGGCGATGCGAGCTGCTTTGAGGAAAGGCGGGAAGAGCAACGGCCGAGATGCAACGACAGCCACGCAATAGTAATGGTTATGATGGCGGGAAGGGGATCAAGGCTCCACTAACGTTTTGACGCCACAGAGTGAAAGAGAGAAGATAGAAGCGGAATTTGCGCTCTAGTTTGGTAAAAACTCAAACCCAGGCGGTTCTGTGTCAATACTGAACCATGTCAAATCGTGTGTGATGTTGTACATATGTGAGTGTAGTGCTATGTATTGTAGCTTTGTATCATCTGAGTTGATGTGACTTTTCTTTTCAGGTCCAGTTAGGAAGGTTTGTTTGAAGTGCATTGCAAGGTACTCTCATTTGTAAATAAAAAATACATACGCATGCAGTGTAGTAGAACGACATTGCTTATTTTCGGGGAATTCAGGCCGAGCCTGTTCTTCCAAGGGTTCAGCAGCACCGGATAACTTCTGTACCCAAATGCAACACACATAAAAACCCCATCAAGATACCCAATCAAAACACCCAGTCAAGGCGCCCCATCAAGATACCCCATCCCGCTCCCCATTTCACCCAACCTCAATCAAATCTGTGCATCTACCATGTACGGGGCCTCCACCCAAATAGCCCCGCCCTCCACCTCGACGTCGTCCCTCTCCTGGTCCACCAAATCCACATTCATCCCCCCCATGGAAGACGCCGCCCGAAGCAGGATGACACGAGCTTGCGCCCGTTGTAACGCCACCCCGATGAGCGCCTTCAGAGACCCCAAAAGATAAGCCGAAAACGAAGTGTCATCCTCCCGGCAAGCCCCCCGTGACACAGCTAGCCCCACGTGCGCGTCCCCCTGCTGACGAAGCCACCGCCGGAAACGACCGCCGAGACACCCCCACGTCTCTACTATCAAAGGGGTGAACTGCACGCCCCGGTTGCGTGCAAGCAGAGGCGCGTAATCACTCGTTTTGCGACGCTCCCACTCCCTTGCCGCCACACTTATAGAACGCACGGACTGCCCTAGTAGAGATGGAGACAGCGACAGCGGGTCCGCGACGCTGATCTCTAGAGCATGAGCCTCCCCGGCCATTGGTCGTCGCACCGCTACGTCAACCCGCTTCCCCGGCAGCACCACACTATCCTCCATCGTCACCACCCCCCCTGACGCCTTAGAGATCTTCGCCACCGCAAACTTCACCTCATCATGCACCCGAGATGGACTGTGCTGGTGCTTGCATCTCAGGGCATGATGCGGGTCTGCTGGGTCAACATACGCTGTACCACAAACACACCTCCCCGCCACCTGCAGCTGCTGAATTGGGAGCCCGAGCCGTATAGCAGCAGCAATGCCCCACTCCGCTGCAGTGAATGTGAGATCTGAGTGAGCCGGAACCGCCGAAACCCATGCACCAGCCCCCGGGCCCTGAAGGGATGTGAAACGGGCCAGGGTGGCATCGTCACGAGCCGAGCGGCGCAGTGCCTGGAGCTCCTCTACCGCCAACAGCCGCTGCCGCGCCTGGAAAAGCCGAAGAGGAGGGGCCGCTACGCACAGAGGTAAGCCCGGCATCTCCTGGCGTATAGTCGCAGGCAGCTGCTCAAGAGCCTTGGCAAACCACGGGTCAAGAAACTCCGCCCCTGCCGAAGTGGTGAGGTACTCCGCAAACATCGCCTCCTCGCCCGCCACCCCCAACTGTGCAATATCACGCGCGGCTTGCGCCCACCCACAAATATAGGACAGCGGACTCAAAGAGGCTGCCGCCCGGATCCCAAACCCTCCGAGTCGCACAGGGAGATGCAGCTGCATGCGTGCGCACCTAGACCGGTCGGGGTCCTGCTCCCAAGTGCCAGGAGGGAAAAGATGCTTAAAGCAATCCTCCAGACAGCTATCCCAATCCCTGAAGGCCTCCACCACCTCCGGACGCGGCGGCATAGTCCGGGCCAGGTACATCGGCCGTGCTGAAACTGCAATGGCGAGGAGATGTGAAGCCATCTGGGGGTGGTCAAGCAGGGGGAGCCATGGCAATGGCGCCTGCAACTGTCGAAGCCGCTCCCGCAACCGGGTCACCTCCCAATCCTCCTCCCCAATAGGCACGCCCACCACAGTGAGACCCTCCTCCACCCGCTGCATCCCCAATGGCAGTGCCCGCTCCACATCCCCGCCCTCGCGCTCCCAAAACCGGCACTTGTGCGCCTGCACCTCCAGCCCCACCCATTCCAACCGCTCCCGCAGCACCCCAAACGCCTCTAGAATCCTAGCCGCTGGTCCCAGGATATAGGTATCGTCTGCGTAGCTCAGGAAAAGTAGGTCCCTGAACTCTCTAGTCACCGACTCCATCACCTGCTGCTGCGTGAACGCGAAAAGAAAAGGGCCGAGCGGGTCCCCCTGCCGCGATCCTCGTGCCGACTCAAAAACATACACCATTAGGGCGTGAAAGATTTATCAGCACTCACATCGTTGGCTGGAAATGTCAAGGACATGCATAATTAGACCACAGAGAACATACAGGAAAGAGTGCTAGGTAATAAATTAGAGATGTTAGACAAATATCAGCAAGAGATCAGTCTAATAAGAGGGATAAGCACATAGAATCATGCATTCTAGAATGTGAGCAGCAGCACATTCTCTCACACCTTCCCTAACGTGCCACCATCAGCATGTCATGTCAACACATCACCAGATTTTAAACCTTAGAAGCTGACGATACAGCCTTTCTATAGTCATCACACCGTGCCATCACTTCAGCATCGGAGACACGTCAGCAAAAAACCTTGGGAGCCCACCCACCAACGGCATTACACCAATCACCATTCACCAACCAATCTCAGAGACAGATGTCACTTGAGAGCATCGCCGACACGTCAGCAAACTCGAACCTTGGGGGGCCCAACCACCAATGGCATTTCACCAATCACCGATTCACCACCACACGGAGAGGCTGGCATCACTTGAGCATCGCAGACACGTCAGCAGATTTGAACCTCGCAAGCCCACCAGAGCCCTTGGATCGGGCACCACCACCAGCAGCGGACGACCGAGATGCGTTTCTAGGCAAAGGGCTTCTCGCTCCCCCTTCCCTCTCCCTATCTCTATCCCGATCCCTATCCCTATCCCTGTCCCGGTCCCAATCCCTGTTCCTCTCCCTATCTCGGTCTCCTCCATCCCTGTCCCTCTCCCTATAATCACGCTCACCGTACCTGTCCCTCTCCCTGCCCTTGTCTCTATCCCTATCCCTGTCACTCTCCCTATCTGAATCATCGTCCCATCCCCTCCCTCCTCTTCTCCCACCACTGCTCGTGCCACTCCCCCTCCCCCCACTCCTCCCCCCACTCCTATCCCTATCTGCCCGACCCCTCTCCCTCGCTCCTCCCTCTCCCTCCTCCTCCCCATTCTCATCCCCTTTCCAAGGCGGCACCATCTTAGGAGCCTTCAGGGGACTCAGTCCGCCGCCCGCCGACACAGAAAAGACAACCCCGCCCGTCCGTGCCAGGTCGTCAAAATCCCGACTCGGCCGCCTCCGAGAAGCGGACGAGCCGCCAGAAGCAGCCGATTTCCGCCCGCCGCTGCTCGTGCTCTCCGCCCCATCCCGCCCCGCATCCTTCCCCCCGTCGCCGCCCAAATCTTCCAACAACTTCCCCACATCTGCCGATTTCCGCCGGACCAGGCCATTAGTAGCCGAAACACGCCGGCCGCCGCCGCCCGCTCGGCTGCTCACACTGGCTGTGGGGGACGGCGGAGCTCCTATTCCTCCCCGATTGGACGGATGGGAGCGAGAAGATTCTTCCAAGAGAGGAGACACAGGCCTCGCTCCCCCCCCACCCCTTGCCGACCCATCTCTCCCCTCCCTCCCGTCCCGCCCGTCCCTCCCGTCCCTGCCCTCTCGCCCATCCCTGCCGTCCCGGACCGGAACAAGAGCCGACACGTTGGTCGACTTGTGCCGAAACAAGCTGTTCCCCTCCAGCCGCTCCTTGGCACTCTTGGCCTTATCCGACACCCGAGACATACCCCTCGCCCCCCCTGCTCCCCCCTTTGCTCCCGCACCACCATCCTCACCACCACCACCCTCCTTCTCATCGTGTGATTCGTCGCTCGCGGCACCAGGAGCAGCAGAGGGAGGGGGAGGAGGAGAGGGGGATCGCTCCAAGTCTCTTCCCTTGGCGCTGCTTCCGATGCGACTCTCCCTGCCCTCCCTCCCGACTCGCTCCCTCTCCTTCTCCCCCGCCTCCCCTCCTCCTTTCTCCACAGCATCAACCTCAGGGTCAAAGGACACACTAGCAGACGAAAGCCCACGCCGCAACGTTCGCCTCGGCCGAACCGGCTCCTCCTCCTCCCCTTTCTTCCTCACCTCATCTCCCTCCTTCTCTTTACCATCCCTGTCCCTGTCCCTATCCCTGTCCCTATCCCTATCCCTGTCCCTGTCTCTGTCCCTGTCTTTATCCCCCCTGTCTCTGTCCCTATCCCTGTCTCTGTCCCCCCTCCCCTTATCCTTCTCCCCTCGAACGCTTTCAGGAGAGGGGGATCGGCGCACAGACGAACGTCTACCATCCCTATCCCTATCCCTATCCCTATCCCTGTCTCTATCTCTGTCCCTGTCTCTGTCCCACTCTCTGTCTCTATCACGGTCCCTATCCCAGTCCCTGTCTCGATCCCTGTCCCTGTCACCCCTCCCTCCCCTCTCTCTGTCTCTCTCCCTGTCCCTGTCCCGAAACCTGTCTCTATCTCTGTCCCTGTCCCTATCCCTATCCCGGTCTTTGTCTCTCCCCCCCGCAGGAGGCGACGGTGACCGTTGGATTCCCCGCGATCTCGATCTGGCCGTCGGACTCTTGAGGAAGTCCGGCCTATCGTCGTCGTTCTTTCCAACCGACACGAGCTTGCCAATATCTGCCGAACGATGCCGTACCAGCCCGCCGCCCTCTTTCTTCGCCCCCGTCGTGCTCCCTAGCTTGTCCCTCTCCCTCCTAAGCCTCTCTCTATCCTTATCCTTGTCCCTCACACCATCGCGATCCCTGTCCCGGTCCCTGTCCCTGTCTCTGTCCCTGTCCCTGTCCCTGTCCTTATCCCAGTCGAGATCCCTGTCTTTGTACCTGTCTCTATCTCTATCCCTGTCCCGATCTCTATCCCTATACCTATCCCTATCCCTATCCCTGTCTCTGTCCCTGTCCCTATCTCTGTCCCTATACCTGTCGTAATCCTTATCCCTGTCCCTATCCCTGTCCCTGTCTCTGTCTCTGTCTCTGTCTCCCCTTCCCCCCCTGTCCCTATCCCTGTCCCTATCCCTATCCCTGTCCCTGTCCCTGTCTCTATCCTTGTCCCTGTCTCTGTCTCTGTCTCTCTCCCTTTCCCGCGGATCTTTTTCTTTCTCCCATTCCCCTCTTCGATTCGTGCTGCTGCTGCCCGGCCTCTCCTTCCCCTTCTCCAGCGAGGCAAAAATCTCCTCCATAGATTTTCCGGGCTGCCCGGGTTTCCCACCCTTGGTCAAAATCGCGCCGACATTTTCCGACCGGTGCCGTAAAAGTTTCGACCCGGCATCGGCAGCAGACACAGAAGCAGACGACGGAAGCTTGACTTCTTTTCTCACCCGCCGCCCATCGTCCTCCCCCTCGTGATCCGATGCGTCTCTTGTGCTCCGGGAGGGCGGCAGCTTCGGCCGGCCTGGTGCCCCGCCGCCCGTGCTGCCGCCCCTTGGTAACCCCGGCCGGTCCTCCCTCCCTCCTCCTCCGCCGCCCCCTCCCGTTGCTTCAAGCTTAGCTAAAAGCTTTGCCAATCGTTCCTCTCCCCCCGCTCCCCCCCCACCTCCCTCCCCACCATCTTTCCTCAGCACCTCCCGGGAAGCCGCGAGAAACGCCTGCAGGGCAGCTTCGGAAGTTTCATCATCTGCCCCGGTCAGTCCGGACCCGTGTCGGGCAGACGCCGACCGTCTGTCTTTCCCAGGAGCACCGTCAGCATCGGATTCAGCTCCTGATAACGACCCGCTACGACTCATCCCCACGCTTCGGGAACGAGGCACTATAGGATGGGGGAGTCCCGCTCCCCCTCCCCCTGCTGCTCCTGCCACCCCCCCGTCCCCCACTTTTTTCTTCAGCGCTTCTAGGAGAACTAGCAGATCGCTATGTGTCCCCTCCCCGCCTCCTCCTCCCCCCCCTCCTCCGCCCCCGCCCCCGCTTCCACTACCGACTTTCTTCAGTGAGAGAATCGCTTTGGAGAGTAGGGACGAGTCTCCCCCTGCTAGAACCCCCGCCAGTCCCCCCACCCCGCCCCCCCCTGCGTGGTGATGGTGGTGCGCCCCCCCTCCGCCTCCCCCTCCCCCTGCGCCCGCCCCGCTGCTAGAGCTGGGGCGCGCGCCCCCCCCTGTGCTGCTGCTGACGCTGCTGTCGCGCCTGAACGCGCCCATGACGTCAGCAGTGGCGGGCTTGGGGGGGATTCCGGAGAGGGAGGCGGAGGAGGGGAAGCGAGTTGCCCCCGCGTGCTGCTTCAACCATCGGTGGGCTGGACAGGTGGGGGGGAAGAGGGGAAAAGGGGGAAATGGAAAGTTGGATTCCAGAGAGGGAGGCGGAGGAGGGGAAACGGGTTGCCCCCGCGTGCTGCTTCAACCAGCGGTGGGCTGTATGGGTGGGGGGGAAGAGGGGAAAAGGGGGTAAGGGGAAACTTGGATTCCGGAGAGGGAGGCGGAGGAGGGGAAGCGGGTTGCCCCCGCGTGCTGCTTCAACCAGCGGTGGGCTGGAGGGGGGGAGAGGGGGAAAGTTGGATTCTGAGAGTAAGAGGAGGAAGGCTGGAAGCGAGTTGCTTGATCTCTCTCTGGTGGCACATAGGCAATCATTCCCCTCCCATTCCACCGTCCAGTTCATGCAAACAGTTTTTCTCCCTCCCAGACACTCCCACCCACCCCCATCCTCCACGCCCTCCCACATGCCCTTGAACATGCCCCCCCTCCCCACGCCCCATCCTCCACCCCCACGTTCACTCACCCAGCACCTTTTCCGGTGTGATCCGCTTGGACGGGTCCCTCGTCAGCAGATTAATCACCTGCTCCTTGGCGCCCGGCGACACGGCCTCCCACACGCCCTCTCTCTCTCCCTCCCATCCACCCAAAATCCACCCACTCACCCAGCGCCTTTTCTGGTGTGATCCGCTTGGAAGGATCACTCGTGAGAAGCTTCGTAACGAGGTCCTTCGCGTCCTGAGACACGCCCGCCCTCCCACACGCCCTCCCACCCGCCCGTGAACACGTCGATCCTGCCCGTCTTGATGGCTGCACCCACCCATTACCCCATTCAGCGCCTTGTCCCCTCCCCACCCCCAACCCCACCCTCCACTCACCCAGAGCCTTTTCCGGTGTGATCCGCTTTGAGGGATCCCTTGTCAGCAGCTTTATAACGAGGTCTTTCGCGTCCTGCGACACGCCCTCCCACATGCCCGTGAACACGTCGATCCTGCCCGTCCCCTACCCTTCCCCCCACTCACCCAGCGCTTTCTCAGGTGTGATCCGCTTGGAAGGGTCTCTGGTAAGGAGCTTAATAACGAGGTCCTTGGCGTCCTGCGACACGCCCTCCCACACGCCCTCCCATCCACTTCAGGTAGCATTTCCCTTGTCGTACCGCCCCACCCTCCACTCACCCAGTGCCTTTTCTGGCGTGATTCTCTTCGAAGGATCCCTCGTGAGAAGCTTTATAACGAGGTCTTTAGCATCTTGAGACACGCCCTCCCACACGCCCGTGAACACGTCGATCTTGCCCGTCTTGATGGCCGCGAATATGCCCTCCTCCTTCTCCGCCCAGAACGGCGGCAGGCCGCACAGCAGGATGTAGAGAATCACCCCCACGCTCCACATGTCTGCCTCCAAGCCGTAGCAGTTATTTAACACTTCTGGCGCTATGTAGTACGCGCTGCCCGCCATTGTGGTGAGTTTTGCGCCTGTTACCGGGGAGTGGAGAGTGGTGAAGGAGGGTGGGACGTGGTGGGAAATGGTGGGAATCGGTGGAAAGTGGTGGAAAGGGGTGATAAGGAGGTGGAGAGGGCAGGCCGCACAGCAGGATGTAGAGGATCACCCCCACGCTCCACATGTCCGCCTCCAGCCCGTAGCAGTTGTTTAACACTTCTGGCGCAATGTAGTACGCGCTGCCCGCCATGGTGGTGAGCTTGGCACCTGTTAACGGTGAAGTTGGGTTTCAGGGAGTGAATGGAGGTGGGCGAGGGTGGGAAACGGTGGGAAGCGGTGGAAAGCGGTGGGAAGGGGTGACTAAGAGGATGGAGAGGGCAGGTCGCACAGCAGGACGCAGTTGTTCGGCACCTCTGGCGCTTTGTAGTACGCGCTGCCCGCCATTGTCGTCAGCTTGGCACCTGTAATGGATTACAGGGAGTGTGTGGAGGTGAGAGACGGTGGAAAGTGGTGGGGAGCGGTGGGGAGCGGTGGGGAGCGGTGGGGAGCGGTGGGGAGAGGTTGAAGCGGGTGAGAAGAGGTGGAGAGGGCAGGGGGCACAGCAGCATGTAGAGTATCACCCCGACGCTCCACATGTTCAGCACCTCTGGCGCTATGTAGTACGCGCTGCCCGGCCATTGCGTCAGCTTCGTGCCTGTATTGGAACCGAAAGTGTGGTGAAAATGGGTAACGGGGGAGTGTAATCAGGTACTTTTTTGCAGCATTCATGTTCCCTAACCACCATGGTCCAGTCCTGTGTTTACCATCTTCCACTGATTACCGATTCTTAAGGTAACTGGGTACCGTGATTCACTGAATCACTTAAGGAGTTAGGTCAGGTGAGTTATTTCCCAAGACATCCTTGACATTTAAATGTGTCTTATTTTTTTGCGAAGGTACGTCAGCTAAGAAGGCTGCTACCGAAATTAGAGAATAGTTTAGTTACTCACCTGGTTTGACAAAAACGGCGAGCCGACTCGCGTGCGCGAGGTTTGGCTGACGATCGGCGTTCGTCACGGTTAACGAAATTGCATATCGATTATTCATGGAACTCGGGCTGACCAAAAAGAGGCTCACCTGGTTTGACGAAAACCGCGAGGCCGTAGTCGACGACTTTGACTCGCGTGTGCGACGATTGGTTGACGAGCAGAATGTTTTCGGGCTTGAGATCGCGATGCATGAGTCCGTGCGCCTGGCAGTGTGCGACGACTGACACGAGCGTGCGACAAACCTCCGCCGCCTCGTTTTCAGGGTAATGCTTTCGTTTGCTGATTCGCTCAAAGAGTTCGCCGCCTTCGCACAACTCCATGATCAAATGCACGCGCTGAGACGAAAACGATACACAGAAACGAGAGAGAGAAGCGGAGAAAGCGGAGAGAGGTAAAAGGTTAAACGCGTCGTATCTAGAAGGGTGGGTGGAAGGGGAGAGAGCGAAAGGGAGTTATCGAGCAGTGAGGATGGCGTTGTTGTTAACATTCCTAAAAACCGAACTGGAAAGAACTAACGCAACGAACAGCCACAAACCTCCTGTTAATCTTCGATCGCACGGAGCTCGATAACTTCTGCATGACCTTAAAGCATCTCCCCAAGTGTACTCCCTCGCTAACCTATTATTCGCTCGCGTACACTATTGTCTCTCAGCGGAGTACCTTTTCGTCTGCGTACGTCGCGCGTACCTAGTGGCTCACGAACCTACTAAACACTCGCGGCTCGCGTACCTACTAAACGTTCGCGTACCTTCAACTCGCGGTTCGCGTACCTTTTGGTCCTCGTACGTGGCCCTGAGCTCGATCACGGCGGGGTGGCCTTCAAGCAGCTCCCTAAATGTACTCGTTTGTCGCAAACCCATTATTCGCTCGTGTGTCTATTGTCGTACCTTTTGGTCCTCGTACGTGGCGCGGAGCTCGATCACGGCGGGGTGGCCTTCAAGCAGCTCCCTAAATGTACTCGTTTGACGCAGACTCATTATTCGCTCGTGTGTCTATTGTCGTACCTTTTGGTCCTCGTACGTGGCGCGGAGCTCGATCACGGCGGGGTGGCCTTTAAGCAGCTCCATCACCTTCACCTCCCTCTGCACGTCCTCCACCTCGCGCGTCCCCGCCAGCTTCGCCTTATTAATGCTCTTACACGCCAGCGACAGCCCCGTCGCTTTATCCGTGCACAACCGAATCACGCCGTACTGTCCGCGACCTAACTCCTTCCCCATGACGTAAAAGTCTTGCACGTTCTCGTACGTCTTTTTGAGGATGTTCACTGTGTGCGACGCTTCTTTCGCCGCGGCGGAACCGGGCCGCCTAAGGACGTCCTTGACTCCCGTCCGGCTGGCGTCTCCTGACGCGGCGGACGGTTTGGCTGGGGAGGAGTCGCGAGAGGAACTACCGGGGCCTGTCGTGGCGAGGCTTGGGGCTGATACCGAATCAGTGTCTGACACGTCATCGTCGACCTTTTTCCCCGTCGGAGGCCTTTTCCTTCCGAGTGAGAGAAGGCCCATGGTTGCACTCGCATTAGGAAATTAAGTTAGGAGGTTTTGCTGATTAAGCTACTCGTTAAAAAGTTAGCATTACGAGATAATATCGTGTAATAGGGACAGAAGGGTAATGGAGGACTTCAGCCCTAACGAAAGCCGAGACGCTCTAGGAAATCACCCGATGACCTAAGCGTCTTATCACAACACCTCTGGCTGTGCGATTGCAGCCTAGTTTAGTACAAGCACTCGCAGCAATGGCGGATCGTCAGTGACAGCAAAAGCATCAATGGCAGCTCTGTTGTCATTGCCACTACACTACAATCATGCACTCGTATCATGCCACTGAACTAACTGCGAACCGAACTAGACTAGAGCTCAGTGGATGATGAGCAACTGCCTATCGTACGTACTTTCACAAAATGGCTGGAAGGGACCAAACCAAACCAAGGAAGGCTCTTGTTTTGGTTCTTGTGTGCTGCTGAATGAACACTCGTCCCCTCAGGTTCGAGTACCTTGAGAGTCCTGCCCACAGGGTAAAAAGTCCGACGCCCTCGTAACTTTTGGTAATAAGCAGAACCTCATAACCGAGATACGTGCATATATAGATCTTTGACTAAGGGAAACACTTTGCGCAAAAACAAGGAAGTTTAGCGTACCAGTTTCCTGTACTGAAACTCGGAACAAGAAGGTGGCGGCCACGCCACTGAAGTGTACTCTGGACGAGCAGTTTGCGAGCTTCCCGATGTTGCCGCCATCGGGTAACTTGGTGGCCTGAACCCCAGGAAAGCGCAAAGCGACAGCCACCAGCTGGCAGGCCGTTGAATAATGGCCCGGCCTGTCTTTCTTGGGCCAACTTTGGCAGGCCTGGAAACTCCAACCAATAAGTGAAGCTAGTGCTGGTTTGGCCATACCACGGCGCGAGTTATGGAGGGAGCGAAGGGAATTTGGGTGTCTGGCGTGGCTCATCCAAGCCAACACCAACTTGTTCGGGCCGTCGAGCCAGCCAATAGTAGTTTCTGGTTTTGACAAGGATCTTGTCGCTTGTTTTGTGGGTTTGGTTGGGTGGATGTTCAAACCATCGTGGCCACACAACACAACCCCTTTCACCCCAGACAACACAAGTGCCAGCGAAGAGGTTACAATACACATCACGCGAAACAACCCACTTCGTCAAACACTAGCGAGATTCGCTTACAAACTTCCAAGGGGAAATATAATGTAGTTGTTATGAGTTGTAAAAGAGAGTGCGCAGGTAAACTAATAACGAGACTGTGATTAACTGATCTGAGAATACAATGAAGGCACAGACTAATGTAGGGGCTAGCCTAGCTAGGAGGGAACCTCGGACGAGCGAGGTTGGGTGCAGGTTTGGCGATTGGGAAATGCCGAAGGCGACGCGAGGAGCCTCGGCAGCGTTGAAATCGGCCGAACGTGCGAAGTCCGAAAATCGGGCTGTACGCGAAGCAGTCAACCCCGATAAGGAATTCGGGAAAATTCCTTACACTACCCCCCCCCTTAAGAAAGGCGGTCCCGGGGAATTCGTCGTAGCCGCATAGCCAGTTACTCCAGTATTCCGGGGCGCTCTGTCTCGGTAGCCACTGTGTCAGCCGCCACTGTGTCAGCCGCTTCTGTTGCCCGTGTGTCTGCAGCTTCAGTCGTCGCCTCCCATCTTCTCTCCTTTCATAGTCCCTCCTCCTCCTCACTTGCCCTCTGTGATAGCCTCTTGTCAGAACATTATATAGCTTATGCTGTTGTGTAGGCTATAGTGGGGTATCCCATAGGGGGTACAACCCAATTAGGGTTTTCCATATGTACTCACCTCATTCATAGTTCATTCATCCTCGTTCTTCATTCTTCTCATGGTATCGAGCAGGTTCCCTCGTGGGAACTGTTCCTAGGGCCCACCGTTTTTTTTTCCTGCCCGGAGCGCACTCTGCCCCTACCCGAGTCGCGCTCCCCTCTCTCTTGGCCCCTAGTGGCCCCTTTAGCCGCCCGTCACGGCCCTTAGACGCCCGCGCGCCGCCCGTCCCGGCCCCTTAGACGCCCGCGCGCCGCCCGTCCCGGCCCCTAGACGCCCGTGCGTCACCCGGCCCGGCCCCTAGACGCCCGCGCGCCGCCCGTCCCGGCCCCTAGACGCCCGCGCGCCGCCCGTCCCGGCCCCTAGACGCCCGCGCGCCGCCCGTCCCGGCCCCTAGACGCCCGCGCGCCGCCCGTCCCGGCCCCTAGACGCCCGCGCGCCGCCCGTCCCGGCCCCTAGACGCCCGCGCGCCGCCCGTCCCGGCCCCTCGACGCCCGCGCGCCGCCCGTCCCGGCCCCTCGACGCCCGCGCGCCGCCCGTCCCGGCCCCTCGCCGCCCGTGAGCCGCCCGTCCCGGCCCCTAGACGCCCGCGCGCCGCCCGTCCCGGCCCCTAGACGCCCGCGCGCCGCCCGTCCCGGCCCCTAGACGCCCGCGCGCCGCCCGTCCCGGCCCCTCGACGCCCACGCGCCGCCCGTCCCGGCCCCTAGACGCCCGCGCGCCACCCGGCCCGACCCCTAGACGCCCGCGCGCCGCCCGTCCCGGCCCCTCGACGCCCGCGCGCCGCCCGTCCCGGCCCCTCGACGCCCGCGCGCCGCCCGTCCCGGCCCCACGCCGCCCGTGAGCCGCCCGTCCCGGCCGCGCACCGCAGTCCCGGCCCCACGCCGCCCGTGCGCCGCCCGTCCCAGCCGCGCGCCGCCGTCTCGGTCCCCACGCCGCCTGTGCCGCTGAGGAGCTGAGCCGCCCGAGCCGCCCGCACCGCCCGAGCAGCCCGAGCCGTGCTGCCCCTCAGCAGCACAACCGAGCCGCCCGACAGCAGAGCAGCCGAGCCGCCCAGCAGCCGAGCCGCTCAACAGCCGAGCCGCCCAGCAGCCGAGCCGCCCAGCAGCCGTGCCGCCCAGCAGCGGAGCCGCCGAGCCGCCGAGCCGCCCGGCAGCCGAGCCGCCGAGCCGCCGCGCCGCCCTCCTTCCGGGCCGCCCGACCTGTCCAGTCTGGTGAGCACAGCGCCCTTTCACTGCACTGCCCTCACCCTACTGTTTGCGCTGCCAGTCGTCTAGGGTCATGGCTACCCCTAGTGTTCTAGTCTTTGACGCTGAGGGTCGGGCCATTGACTTTGAGGTCTGGGTGGATGACCTGCAGCTGTTCTTACAGTGCGATAGGGCAGATGGTCTCTCTCTCTTTGACCTCACCTCTGGCGCCTCCACTGCCCCTGCTGCTGACGCCGACGCCACTGTTCGCTCCCAGTGGGCCACGCGCGACGCTGCTGCACGTCTTGCTGTGCGTCGCCACCTCCCTACCTCCGAGCGTGCACACTTTAGTCAGTACAAGAGTGCTCAGACCTTGTACGACGCTGTAGTTGCGCGCTACTCCTCCCCTGCCACTGCTGCACTGAGCCGTCTCATGCTACCGTACCTCTTTCCTGACCTTGCTGCCTTTCCCACAGTCGCTGACCTCATTACGCACCTCCGCACTAGTGACACTCGCTACCGCGCTGCACTCCCTGCTGACTTCTGCGCCAAGAACCCCCCCCCCATGTACATCACTCTTTACTACATAGTCACTCGCCTTCCTGACTCCCTTCGCGTAGTCAGGGACCACTTTCTCTCTGTCTGTCCCACCACTCTCACTGTTGACCTCCTCGAGAAGTCCCTCCTAGCGGCCGAGAAGAGCATAGTCGCTGTAGGGGCCTCTCGTGGTGACCCGCGCACCCCCATCTTTGAGGGGTGTTCCCCCTCCCCCCTTCTGCCCTCTGTTGCCTCTGCTGCTGCGGCCGACCTCCTTGGTCTTGAGTCGGTCGGTGTGGCGTCTGCCCCTAGTGGGAGACGCCGCTCTGGCAAGGGCAAGGGGGGCAAGGGCGCTGGAGGAACGAGCGGGGGCGGTGGAGGTGGAGGTGGCGGCAGTGGGGGGAGTGGGGGTGGCGGTGGGAGTGGAGGTGGGGGTGGAGGAGTCGGTGGCGGCAGTGGAGGCGGAGGTGTCGGCGGCGGTGGCAGTGGGAGTGGGGGTGGCGGAGGTGGCGGCGGCGGAGGCGGAGGTGGAGGCGGCGGCAGTAGCGGAGGCGGCGGAGGCGGAGGAGGCGGCGGGGGTGGAGGTGGTGCTGGTCGCGGGTCTTCGCAGAGGAGTGGCTCCGGTGGTGGCTCGCGCCAGCAGTAGCAGCGTGGTCGTGACACCTTGTCCCCTCAGCAGCTTCGTGAGTGGTACACTGCGCGTCAGCGAGGTGGGGGTTTTGGTCCGTGCTCCTACGTTTTGCGCACCGGCGACCGTGCGGGTGAGCAGTGTGGGGGTCCCCACCCCACTCCGCGCTGCTTTGGCCGCCTGACGGACGCGTGGCGTCACCAGTTCCCGGAGGCCTCAGAGATCCCTCGTTGGGGTGACCTGTCCAGGGCGGGTGTTGCCATCTATGATCTTGACTTTGATGCTATTCTCTCTGCCATGTATGCTGTGTCTATTAGTGATGAGGGTGACTGTTACCGGTGTTTCCCGCCCGATCCGGGTATTGAGACTGCTGCTCTAGGTCCTGGTGAGGCTGCTGCCCTAGGTGCTTGCGACGCTGCTGCCCTAGGTGCTCGTGTGTCTGCGTCCTCAGGTACTGGTGAGTCTGCGCTCTCAGGTACTACGTCGGCTTCGGCCTCCCTCACCTTCACCCTTGACTCTGGGGCGTCTCGCTCCTTCTTTAGGGACCGCACCACACTCACACCGCTGAGTCGACCGGTTGCAGTGTCTCTGG